TAAAATTATAAATAAATTCAGTTTAAAACACCTAAAAATTTCAAAAAAAAGCAACTATTTATCAAAAAATAAAATTTTAAAAAATTATTTACATTTATTTTGATTTTATGTGAATGTAAATGATAGCAAAAACTCAAAAAGTAATTCTTGGATACACTATATAGTAAAGTTTTATTTTTAAAAGCTAAATACAATTTTTTTTTTACAAATATAACCTAAAAAAGAGTAAATGATTTCATTTTAAGAGAGAACAAATTTAAATATTTTATTTTTGTTTATTAAAATAAACTCAAGAAAAATAAAGAAGAAGAGATGTATTTGTTTGTTTCAATAGCCTATTTATATGTAACGAATTAATTTACGTCCAATAATGAATGAGTGTTTGAAGTAAAAAGGTTATTTATGTTATAATTTTTCAAAGACTAATAAAAAATAAATGATTGGTAAATTAATTTACTTTTCACTCTAATTATAATAAGATAATTTTTTTTACATTCTTAACAGAATCTATTTTACATCACTTTTAATTAACTTAAATCAAATTAAATTTTTTCAATAAATCAATTATAAATCTTCTTTATTTAATTTCATATTTAGATGGAATGATTATTAATAATAATCATGAAAATGGAAGATATCTTATGAAATATAGTTCATGCGAACGAAAGGGTTCTTCTTAAATAATTAATGACACAAGGAAATTATAAGAATAGCTAATAATGGAAAGCATGCAGAGGTTTTAATCAAAGTCTCCTAAGATAAATTCTTAATATAATCAAATAAATATTAGTGGATATAAAAAAAATGATTAAATTTTAGAGAAAGCATTTAAATAAATAGAGTAAATAAAGCATAAGCACTCACAAAACTTTAACGATTCTCATTTTAGTCTAGAAAGAATAGGTTTGAATCCTAAATCTTTTCAGTGCATTGTTTATAAAAAATAGCAGAATAATTGCATTAATCCTATTTTAGAATACATAAATAGGAATAACATAGGTATTCCTTAAGAAATTTAATATAAATCAGAATTAAAAAAGAGTTTAATTAGCTAAAAGTAAAAATAAATGGAAGAACAATAGAACCATGATGATGCTCAGTATTATCCAGCTCAATAAGAAGCGTATTCTTTTATAGATAATCGGAGAAGCAAACTATAAACTAGGTACAAAGAGCTAAAAAATATTGAATAAGATCAAAATGAGTACTCTCAATAAGCATATGAGCAGTTAAAGAACATTTTAAGTCCTAAAAAAAAAAATAAAGTAAAAAAATTAATATCAAGTTTAAAAATAAAATAATTTTTTTCTAATTAAATAAATTAAATAGTAAGAAAATGAATTAGAGCATTTGAAATAACACAATTAGAGATATAAAGAAAAGTATTCTAAAAACCTTTAAAAAATTTAAATCAAAAGCTAAATATCAAGTGTGGCATCTCCGAATAATTAATCACCATTAAGGATATTTTCTCCTCCAAAAAATATAGATTTTAATAACAAGAGTCAGGTTGGGAAATTAAATAAAAATGGTTTATTAAATAAGAGCGATATTATTTCTTCCTAGTCAACTCACCTTCAATCATAATAATAAGAAGCTATTTAAGATAAAAAGAATTAAAAAGGTGGATTGTAAAAAAAATTTGAGAAGAAAAGTGATTAGCTATTTGATTATCTAAATAATTCAAAGAATCCAATCACTGTCGAAGGAAAAATATATGTTAAAGATGATAATCAAAACAAATAAAGCCGCTTAAGATATTCTAAAGATGATTTGAATAAATAAGATTATGAATAAAATGATGATAGACAAATGCGAAAGCATTCAACTCCAATTAAAGTTATTAACGACTTTAAAAATAATTTAAACTAGAATTAAACTAACAATTTAAATTAAAAGCACTCAAAATAGAGATACAATAAATCATAAGAAATTTAACATATCAATAAAACAGAAGCGAGTCAATTAACCTAGTAAGAATAGCTTTAAAGCTAAATAAACACAAATTTCTTAAATATTTAAAATTTAAACTAAAAAATTAAATAGTAAAATACGTCTTAAATTATTGATAACTAGCAATTCGACGATTCATTTATACTAAATCATCAATCCCAAGTTAAATTAAAACAAAATTCTGTAAATATTCCAACTCACTCATATGAAATTATTATGTCTAATAAGCATTCAGATGTAGATCCCAAAAACTCTCAACATAATTTAAATAATTAATCTGTCATTCTTAGATCAATAGCTGACTGCGAAGAAGCTGATATAGCAGTTCAATAGCATGAAATAGAAAAATAATGCAAAACAAACAAATATCTTAGTAGACTTGGTCTTAATAATAAATACAGTAAAAGAGACTATTTAAAAGTGTAAAACTAAAGTTAAGTCAATAAAGAGTTTTTAAATATAAATTTTGATAGTGAAAATCTAAATCCAAAGTCAAAGAATATTAATTAAATATCTTCTAAAGTATAATGTTCTAGCTAGAAGGCAGGTTTTAATGAAAAAATATATCCTTAACTAGGAGATCAAGTCTTTTAAAATAAGAAACAAAGATCTTTTACAACTTAATTTGAAAATAATTAGCATCTAAACAAATAAAAGTGTTAAGAAATTCTACCGCTAAATATAAAATATATCTCTAATTCAAATTAAGAAGTTAAAAATAGTTAATAATCCTATTAAAACTATAATCTATAGCATAAAAATAAATCACTATAATAACAAGTTGCTAAAGATTAAACACTTTTCTCCCAGCAAAATTATTTTATTAGTCCAGAATTATCTAGAAATATGAGCATTCTACAACAATGCGAAAAAGAAAGTAAAAATATTAACTAATTGTCTAAACTTTGGGAGAAAAACATAGATAAAATGGTACTAGAAAAGAATAATTATGATTAATAGTATAATAACCTTTAAGAATAAACTATCACAGAAGGAAAAACAAACATATATTAATATTATTAAAAATAAAGATTTAACACTGATTTTTGAAGTATAATTTGTAAATTAATCAATCAATCAATCACCTTTTCTATCTTTTCTGTCATACTTATTTTTTAAGTTTAAACTTTTTAACTAAAAAAGAAAATTATTTTTGTAAAAGAAAAATAAAAATTTTTACAATAATAATAATAAAAAATTATTTTAAGCAATCTTAATTCTATATTCCTTATATTTAAAATTCATAAATATTAAAAGGTTTTATTGATTGTTTTATTCATTTATATATATCTATAGTACTGCCTTTTTCAAGGCTATATACACTAATCATAACAAGACTTATTAATTTAATAGTTTTAATTTCAATAAATTTTAGTATGACGCAAAATGGGTCTCAATTGTCAGTGCTATTATTTCTTTTGCTCTTTTGTTAATAACAGTAATACATATTATTTTGTTTCTTTTATTACCTGTTCTTTAATTTTAAATTTTTCAAGATGAATATTTATGCCCTCCGTGAAGTAACACGCAGCCTTAAGTCAAAAATCTTGTCAATAATTGTCAATAAGGTGGGTAGTCGAATATTTTATTATTATACATTTTCTCGAGTTTAGATAATTTGATACGCATCTAAATAAAAAAACTAACACAATTAATTTCAATTTACATGATAAAATAAATATCTTTATTAAATTCTCAATAATATTAATTAGTACTTTTTATAAATATTTTTTTTAATCAATCAAAATGCAATAATTTAATAGTTATTTTTGAAGGTTTCTTTTTTGGTAATGGATTAAATAAAGAATTGACTTTTAATAAAAAATTATATTGTATATCTCTTATAACTTAATCTGCTGTTAACATAATTATTTAAAATTTTTGTAAACATAAAAAAAAAAAATTGTATTAGAATTTTACTCCATTAAAATAAAAAATTAAATAAAGAAATGTTTTACAGAAATAATTTAAATATTAATAAAATTACAAGAAGAAGCTAATTAATTGAGTAGATAAATTATATGATTAATATTGCAATAATTTGTAATAGATACAAACCTCTTCGATTTGAAAAATATAAAGTTCGATTCGGTTTGTGGAAAATTTAATTTTAATAAAATTTGATCTATTTTCTCATTAATAAGTTAAGCAGCCAGAATTAAATAAGTAAATTAACATTTTTAAAGTAATTTATCTGACCATGTTTAATTATTTGTTTATTTACTTATTTAAAAACTTTTTTCAAAACTTTATTAGGAAGAAAAATAGAGTTCAATTGAAATTAAATGATTCTATAAAGGTTTATCTCAATTTAAATAGAAGACAGGATATGCGAATTATGTATTAATTAATATAACCTAATATTAAAACAAAAAAATAAGCAAAATAAAATAAAGAAATGTTTTACAGAAATAATTTAAATATTAATAAAATTACAAGAAGAAGCTAATTAATTGAGTAGATAAAATTATATGGTTAATATTGTAATAATTTGTAATAAATACAAACCTGTTCGATTTGAAAAATATAAAGTTGATTCGGTTTGTGGAAAATTTAATTTTAATAAAATTTGATCTATTTTCTCATTAATAAGTTAAGCAGCCAGAATTAAATAAGTAAATTAACATTTTTAAAGTAATTTATCTGACAATGTTTAATTTTTTGTTTACTTATTTATAAGCTTTTTTCAAAACTTTATTTCGAAGAAAACTAGAGTTCAATTGAAATTAAATGATTTTATAAAGGCTTATCTCAATTTAAATAGAAGATAGGATATGCACTTTATGTATTATTTATTTAATATAAGCAAATATTAAAACAAAGAAATAAGCAAAATAAAATAAATGATGAAACTAAAGAATCTCTGCAAAATATTATATTTGTAAATTTTAGTTTAGATATCGTTTTAGATAGACTGTGTGATATAAAACTCTATACTTAATGTGCCTTCTACAGGTTGTAATCTTCCATCTGCATAAAATTAAATTACTTAGGTAGATAAGCTCATTTTAAACGGTTAGTTGAATATTAGTAGATACGCTTATTTATAGTATAAGACTTTGGAAGCCAATGATGGAGCAGCTATGAATCTGAAATCGAATTACGAGCAAATTAAAATTGAAGACATAGGAACAGACACTTGTAGCTTAGAGTTACTTAAACCAGTAACTATGAGTTTGTCATCTTAATCTCAGAACTTTGTTTATGATATCTACTCTATTTCTAATAGTAATTAGCTAACTATAAGAGATTTGCCATTAGGATTGTTTCATGGAGTAAAAATATTAATTTCTTCTCTATCAGGCCTGACAGAATATGCTATAGTTGATAAGATACTTGATCAAGTCGTATATCTATAAAATCCTCTATAAAAAAATCATTTAAGTTGGTAGGTTGCAGGAAAATCTCTCTAAACATATTATCCTAAGTTAATAGTCATTGATGAATAAAGGATCATCTTTAAAAAGTAATAAATTATAATATTTAGCTCTCTCTAAGCTTTTTTTTCTTCCTTAAAGACATATTTCATAATTTTATTTTCAAATATTTTATTTTTAACTCAAAATTTAGAATATTTTTTATTTAATTAGCGCATGCTTAAAAATATTTCCTTAAAAGCCTCAAGATCTTTTAAACAACGCTGGAATTCTTTTTTAAGACATGAAAGGTCTTTCTTATGAGAATTAAGATCTAAGTAATATTGTAGGGCTTACTCAGTCAATATTTTTAAACTCTGATAACTTCACCAACCAATTCTTTTAGATTTAAGGATAAATAAGCAATATACTAATAATTGGAGTTAATGAACTTACTATTAATGATCAAACATAGCTTTCAAGTATATAATATATTAGTATGTACAGGATGAACAAATCTTCACTTAATATTTTTGCTATACCTGATAATCTCAACCCAATTATATTAGATTCGTGGTATTTAAATGACTGCTAAGTTACTTTGTACTTAGATAACCCCATTGATACTTAACAATTACTAAATTCAAATTTATTAAATATTTAATTGAAAATCGTTAAGTCCTATAATGGTCCTCTATTAATACAAAGTAATAACTTACTTAATTGTATTTTGAGCAAAGATAAAAATAGAGGATATCCCAGTGATTTAACCATTTAAGCTAACTAAATAGCAGGTAAGGAACTAAATATGCAAAATTTTGATTTCTTAAATGCATATATCTTATAAAATTATTTTGATGGTACAAGGTTAATGTATGCCATCCTTTTATCATAATAAGTAAAGTAAGAAGTTAAATAAGCCAATATAGTAATAGATAGAAATATTTTCTCAAATTTTGAATATTAAGGCTATGATCTAATTACTACAACACTTTAAAGTACTGGCTATTAGGAACCTGTTTTGTAATATAGTGAGTACATCTATTAAGTCACTTTAAAAACTAACATCTTTAACATTTTACCTAGTAGTTAACAGAAAGTCATTTTTTTACCCTCTTTAATTCTTAATTATTAATATTATCAGAATTATGATAGATATTTCTTAGCTCTCCCTCTTGATGATACGATATATCATAAGACAAAAACCTTGAGAAAATATCCTTTAACAAGCATAATTTATCACAAGCCTTTGTTTTTTTTTTGGAATTTCTTAGGATAAATTTCTTTTGATATTGGAAATGCTACTGGATATTACATGGATATAAAAACCTAAGAATTCAATCAAACTTGGTAAATAGGTACTACTTATTACATACTTGAAGATACAATATATAAGGCTTACTTTAAATCAACCCTTGATAATTAACTATCAGCTGCTCCTGAGCAGCTCAATTTGTATACATTTAATTGGAAAGAAGATGCTATTATCCCACAAATTAAGATTTATTTTAAATCATCAACCCCAATTTAAGCAATAAATGTTTAGTTGAATGGAAACCTAGTAGCTTCTGATGATGAATACGTTTCAATAGATCCTATAGATGGATGCTTAAATGTTTATCCAAAAATATATGATAGTTTTAGAAAACCTATTAATATTACAATAACTAAATGCCAAGATGGATAGGTTTTATCAAACTAGCAATGCGTTTCTAACTGTCCAGATGGATAGCATCTACTTAATTCTGTCTGCTTAGATGGAAAATAAAAAGAAGGGTATTATTTTTAAAATAATTAATATTTGCCATGTTTAGGAGGAGCAAATAATAATTGTAAAGCTTGTTCAACTTCAAATGACTGTTAAGAATGTTTTATTTTAGAAGTTTTATCGGGTTAGTTATGCTATGTTGAATAGTATTAACAATTTTATTCAATAAGTGGTTTTCAGAATTGTTTTCAAAATTGCTAATATTGCTATGATCAATAAATTTGTAGTGTATGTGTTGAAGGATATGTTTTAAGCTAAGATCAAAATTCATGTAATCTTTGCCCATAAGGAAATTTTATCAAAGATAAGGAATGTATTTCATGCCCCTCTAATTTTAATTGTGCAGACTGCTTTTCTGATTAGGCAGGATCATGTAGATCATGTAAACCTGGGTTTACATTAGTTAAAGGGTTTTGTTAATAAACATGCATTCAAAGTTAGTATCTTGATAATTTTGGCATATGCTAACCTTGTGATCCAACCTGCTTAGAATGCTCAGACAGTGGAAAAACTAATTGTACTAGATGCTCAAAAGGAAAAATTTTAAATGTATAGCCCTAATCTCAAACATGTGAACAAAGCACATGCACAAACCTTTAATTTTTAAATAATAATAATGTATGTCAAAACTGTTTTGATTAAACAAATCAAAATGGGTGCTTTGATTCTTATCCTAACTCTATTATTTGTGATTCTGGTCATTATGCTCAATAAAATGTATCTGGATGCTAAATGTGTGACAAAAGCTGTAAAACATGCTAGTACTAATCCACGAACTGTATTGAATGTAATTAAGATTACTCATTTATTTCTGGGAATAGTGGTTAGTGTTAAAAGTGCTAAGATGGTTTCTATGCCCCTCTAAATGCGATAACTTGCCTTAGTTGTAGTAGTCCATGTAAAACTTGCTCTGGGTCCAGCAATAACTGCTTAACATGTTTAGATGGTTTTTATTTTGATAGCAACAGCAGCAATGGAAAATGCATAAAATGTGATGTAAATTGCATGGAATGTATGAATACATCAACTTAATGTACTAAATGCCCTTAAAATTCATACTTATCATCAAATAAATGTTTGAATTGTCCAGCAGGTTAATATGTTGATCCCAAGAGCTAATAATGCGCTAATTGTGATTTTTCTTGCTCTAAATGCTCAGAATCTTCAACAAATTGCACTGAATGTTATAGTGGTTAATTTTTGAGCAATGGATAATGCATAAAATGTGATGTAAATTGTAAGGAATGTATGAATATATCAACTTAATGTACTAAATGTCCTTAAAATTAATATTTATCATCAAATAAATGCTTAAGTGATTGTCCTACAGGATAATATGCAGATTCTTAACTAAGAATATGTGAAGACTGTGACAAATCTAAGAGTAAAGAATGTTTAAAGATGTAAAATATAAAGTTAAGAGATACAAAAAACGGTTTGGAGTAAGGCGCTTTAGTTGGAATAGCGCTTGGTTCTTTTGCATTTTTAACAGCAGTTATCATAACTCTACGTTATTTTTATAAAAAGAGAAAATAAAATTTAGTTATTTAAATAGACCCAAATTTTAAGAATAATTTAGTTTATAGTAATACCTAAATTAATACACAGAGAGATATTGAAACAAAAAATTAGGAAGAAGCAAAAGAATAGACAGACTTTAAAGTAATAAATTGATTGATTGATTTACATTCATGCTAAGTTTGCTAAAACCATTAGAAATAAAGATAGAAATAAACATATAAAATAAAATAGGGTTTTAAATAAAGTTTTTTAGTAATGATATTTCTTACAAACTTAATTATAAAAATAAACACATATATTGATAGATTTGCATATTTTTAGTTGATTGATTTTTTGAATTTAAAATTAAAATGTATTTTATTTTAAGTTATTTTTTAAAATCTCATTTTTAATTTATTTTTTTTATGTGTAAAATTTATTTTAATACTTTTTTGATAATTATTAAAAATTAAAATTAATATTTTTTTAAATTTATTAAAATAATCAGAACAAAAATAGAATAATAATATAATATCTTTTTCATCAAATAAATATTGGTGGATATAAAAGAAATTATTAAATTTTAGAAAAGACATTTAAATAAATAGAGCAAATAAATCATAAGCACTCACAAAATAAATTTGAATGATCCTAATTTTAGTTTAAAAAGAATAGGTTTGAATCCTATTTCTTTTCAGTATATTGTTTTTAAAAAATAGCAGAATAATTGAATTTATCCTTTTTTAGAATAAAAAATAAGAAAAACATAGGTATTCCTTAAGAAATTTAATAAAAATCAGAATTAAAAAATAGTTAGATTATCTAAAAGTAAAAATAATTAGAGAACAATAGAACCCTGATGATGCTCAGTATTATCTAGTTTAGTAAGAATCTTATTCTTTTATAGATAATCAGAGAATAAATTATAAAAAAAGTACAATGAGCTAAAAATATTGAATAATACCAAAATGAATGAATGCACTTAATAGGCATATAAATTGTTAAAAAACATTTTAAATTCTAAAAAAAAAAAGTAAAATAATCAACATCAAGTTTAAATATAAAATAAATTTTCTAATATAATAAATTAAAAAGTAAGAAAACGAATTAGAGCCTTTGAAATAACATAATCAGAGAAAAAAAGAATAGTATTCTAAAAACTTGTAAAAATTTAAATCAAAAGCTAAATATCATGCAAGTGTGGCATCTCCGAATAATTAATCACCATAAAGGATATTCTCGCCTACAAAAAAATATAGATTTTATGCGAAAAAGGAATTATAAATATTAATTAATTGTCTAAATATTGGGAGAAAAATATAGATGAAATGATAACAGAAAAGAATAGTTTTGATTAATATGATAATAACCTTTAATTATAATTGTCAGAGGAGGAAAAACGAAAATATATTGATATTATTAAAAATAAAGATTTAACACTGATTTTAGAAGTTTAATTTGTAAATTAATTAATCAACCTTTTTGTCTTTTTGTGTCAAACTCTTTTTCTAAGTTTAAATTTGTTAATTAAAAAACAAATATATTTTTTGCTAGAAAAAAACCAAAGTTTTTACACAAATAATAGAAAATTATTTTAAGCAATCTTAATTCCATATTACTTTTATTTAAATTACATACATATTAAAAATATTTTATTGTTTATTTTATTCATTTATATATATATATTAGGGTTCGACTGTATAAATGGTTTTTTGCAATTTAAAAATACAGCAGACTACAGTATTGCTTCCAAATTTAAATTTATATGAATTTAAATGTTAGCAAAAACTCAAAAAGCAATTTTTGGATACACTATTTATTAAATTTTTTTAAAAGCAAGATATAATTTTTTTCTGGCAAATATTACTTAAAAATGAGTAAATAATGATTTCATTTTAAGAGAAAAAAAATTAAATATTTTATTTATTAAAATAAATTAAATAAAAATTAGGAATAAAAATGTATTTATTTGTTTGCTTTCAATAGCATATTTATATGTCATGCTATAAATTCCTAAAAAAAATAAATGATTGGTAAATTAATTAATTTAGATTTTCGCAAAGGGTTCTTCTTAAATAATTAATGACACAAAGAAATTATAAGAATAGCTAATAATGGAAAGCCTGCATTAATCAAAATCTCCTAATATATTTTCTTTTTCATCAAATAAAATATTGGTGGATATATAAGAAATGATTATATTTTAGAAAAGACATTTAAATAAATAGAGCAAATAAATCATAAGCACTCACAAAATAAATTTGAATGATCCTAATTTTAGTTTAAAAAGAATAGGTTTGAATCCTATTTCTTTTCAGTATGTTGTTTTTAAAAAATAGCAGAATAATTCAATTTATCCTTTTTTAGAATAAAAAATAGGAAAAACATAGGTATTCCTTAATAAATTTAATGTAAATCAGAATTAAAAAATAGTTAGATTATCTAAAAGTAAAAATAATTAGAAGAACAATAGAACCCTGATGATTCTCAGTATTATCTAGTTTAGAAAGAATCTTATTCTTTTATAGATAATCAGAGTATAAATTATAAACAAACTACAAAGAGCTAAAAATATTGAATAACACCAAAATGAATGAATGCACTCAATAGGCAAATAAACCGTTAAAGAACATTTTAAGTTCTAAAAAAAAAAAAAGTTAAATAATCAACATAAGTTTAAATATAAAATAAATTTTCTAATATAAAAAATTAAAAAGTAAGAAAACGAATTAGAGCCTTTGAAATAACACAATCAGAGAAAAAAAGAAAATTATTCTAAAAACCTGTAAAAATTTTAATCAAAAGCAATGTATCAAGTGTGGCATCTCCGAATAATTAATCACCATAAAGGATATTCTCGCCTACAAAAAAAAAGATTTTAATAACAAGAATCAGGTTGGCAAATTAAATAAAAATGGTTTATTAAATAAGAGCTATATTATTTCTTCCTAGTCAAATAATCATCAATTATAATAACAATAATAAGATATTTAAGATAAAAATAATTAAAAAGGTGGATTATAAAAAAAATTTGAGAAGAAAAGTGATTGGTTATTTAATTATAAATAATTAAAAGAATATAATCACCATTGAAGAAAAAATAAACAGATGCTTCAAATAAAGTAACCCGCAACTTTTTTTTGATTTTGATTTTGATTTTTAAATATGATTTATAAAAATACATTAAAAAATAAAAGGGTTACATTATATGAAACATCGTATGTTACAGATGATAATCAAAATAAAAAATACACTTAAGATATTCTTAAGATGATTTGAATAAATAAGATTATGAATAAAGTGATGAAATTGATGATATACAAATACGAAAATATTCTACTCCAATTAAAGTTATTTATGACTTAAAAAACAATAAAATATTCCTTACGAAAATTTTTTATGAACTTAGAAACCAAAGTAGTCTTTGAATTCCCTGCATTTCATCATAGTTTTCCTTTTTCCGTAAAGTTTTTTTTGCATAAAACTTGAGGTTAAAGGAATTAGCTGAAACATTCTAATTTTTCTCAACTAGAATCAAACTAACAATTTAAATTAAATGCATTCAAAACAGAGATACAATAGAATATAAGAAATTTATCAAATCAATAAAACAGAAGCTAGTCACTAAAGCTAGTAAGAATAGCTTGAAAGCTAAATAAACGCAGATTTCTTAAATATTTAAAATTTAAACTAAAAAATAAAATAGTAAAATTCATCTTAAATTATTGATAATTATCGCTTTCATAATTCATATATACTAAATCATCAATCCCAAGTTACACTTAAATGAAAGCGAAATTGAATTAAAAAATATATCCTTGACTAGGGGATTAAGTCTTAAAAAATAAGAAAGAAAGGTCTTTTACTACATAATTTGATATTAATTAACATTTAAACAAATAAAAGTGTTAAGAAATACTAACGCTAAATAGAATGTATATCTCTAATTAAAATAATAAAGTTAAATAAAAATGGTTAGTAATCCTATAAAAACTACAATCTACAACATAAAAGTAAATAAAACGATAGAAAGTTGTTAATTTTTAAACACTTTTTCCCAATAAAATTATTTTAAATAAGTCCAGAATTATCTATAAATATGACTACTATGCGAAAAAGGAAGTAAAGATATTAACTAATTGTCTAAATATTGGGAGAAAAATATAGATAAAATGATAACAGAAAAGAACAGTTTTGATTAATAGTATAGTAACCTTTATGAATAATTGTCAGAGGAGGAAAAACAAAAATATATTGATATTATTAAAAATAAAGATTTAACACTGATTTTAGAAGTTAAATTTGTAAATTAATTAATCAACCTTTTTATCTTTTTGTGTCAAACTCTTTTCCTAAGTTTAAATTTGTTAATTAAAAAACAAATGTATTTTTTGCTAGAAAAAAACCAAAGTTTTTACACAAATAATAGAAAATTATTTTAAGGAATCTTAATTCCATATTACTTTTATTTAATTTAAATTACATACATGTTAAAAATATTTTATTGTTTATTTTATTCATTTATATATATATATATTAGGGTTCGGCTGTATAAATGGTTTTTTGCAATTTAAAAATACAGCATACTGCAGTACATTCATATAAAAAAATAAAATAAGAAATATCTTGCCAATTAGGTGGTGGGATATTTTATCACTATATATTTATTCAATTTTATATAATTTTATGTGCATTTAAATATATAGTAAAGCAATTAATTACAATTTACATGGCATTTTATTAAAATTATTAATAGTGCTAATTAGTATATGGTATAAATGATTTTATTTAATCAATAAAAATGGCATAGCTTAGTTAATAGTTGTTTTAATAATGGGTTAAATTAAGAATTTATTTTGATTAGAAATTTATATTGTATATACCTCTTTTAACTTAATCTACTATCAATATTTATTTAAATTTTGGATACATATTAAAAAAAATTGTTTTAGATTTTATTTCTTTCAAATATAAATTAAGTAAAGAAATATTTTACACAAATAATTCAAATTTTAATAAAATTATTATAAAAAGCTAATTAATTGGTTCGATAAAATTATATGCGTGAAATTGCAATAATTTTTAATACATACGATCCTGCTGGATTTCTAAAATAAAAGGTTCGATCTGTTTAATACTGAATTTAATTTTAATCAAACTTTTATCAGTTTTCTAAATAATAAGTTAAGCAACATGAATAAGAAAAGGAAATTAACATTTTTAAATTAATCTATTAATTTTATAAAGGCTTATCTCAATTTAAATAGTAGACAGAATATGCACTTTATGTATTAATTAATATAAACAAATACTAAACTAAGAAATAACCAAATAAAAAAAAGATGAAACTAAAGAATCTCTGTAAAATATTATATTTGCAAATTTTAGTTTAGATATCATTTTAGATAGACTGTGTGATATAAAACTCCATACTTAATGTGCCTTCTGCAGGTTGTGATCTTCCCTATGTATAAAATTAAATTACTTAGGTAGATTAGATCATTTTAAACGGTTAGCTAACTATTAGTAGATTTGCTAATTTATAGTATAAGACTTTGGTAGCCAATAATGGAGCAGCTATGAATCTGATATCGAATTATGAGCAAATTAAAATTGAAGACATAGGAACAAATAGTTGTAACTTAGAGGATCTCAAACCAATAAATATGTCTGTATAATGTTAATCTAAGAATATTGTTTATGATATCTACTCTATTTCTAATAGTAATCAGCTAACTATATAAAATTTACCATTAGGATTGTTTCATGGAGTAAAGATATTAATTTCTTCTCTATCAGGTCTTACAGAATATGCTATAATTGATAAGATAGTTGATGAAGTCATATATCTATAAAATCCTCTATCAAACAATCATATAAGCTGGTAGGTTGCAGGAGATTCTCTACAAAGATATTATCCTAAGTTAATAGTCATTGATGAATAAAGAGTCATCTTTAAAAAGTAATAAATTATAATATTTAACTCTCTCAAAGCTTTTTTTTTTCAACATAAAAAACATAAAAGACATATTTCATAAATTTATTTTCTAATATTTTATTTTAACTCAAAATTTAGAATATTTTTTATTTAAAAAGTGCATGTTTAAGAGTATTTCCTCAAAAGTCTAATGGTAGTTCAAAATTTTAAGGAATTCTTTTTTAAGACATGAAAGGTTTTTCTTTAGAGAATTAAGATCCAAATTCAACAGACCTTCTCTCTGAAACAATATTTTAAAACTCAGATAACTTTAAAAACAAATTCTTATAGTTCTTATAGATTACAAGATAATTAGAAAATATAATAATAATTGGAGTTAATAAATTTACTATTAATGGTCAAGGAAACGATCTATCAATGTTTGGTGTTAGTATGTACAGGATGCACAACTCTTCACTTGAAATAATTGGCCAACCTTAAACTAGCTTAAGAATAAAACTACAGTTTTCGTAGTTAAATGATTGCTAAGTAACTTTGATGTTAGATAATAGTAGTAGCTAACTTACTTTCTATTTAACATATTCAAAAATTTTAAATACTTAATTAACATTCTCTAGCTTCTATAAGTATAATCTAAAGATATCTGAAAATAGCTTACTAAATTGTATTATGAGAACAATTTAAAAATATCCCATTTAATTAGAAATTTTTCTTAACTAAATAGCAGGTAAGGAACTAAACTTGTAAAACTTTCAATTCAGTAATGCAAATATCTATGATAATTATTTTGATGGTACAGGGTTAAAGTATGCCATCCTTCTATCGTAATACGTATAGTAAGAAGTGGGATAAGCCGAAATATAAATAAGTAAGAATATGTTCTCAAACTTTGAATATTAAGGCTATGATTTAATTACTTCAACACTTTAAAGCACTGGCTATGAGGAAACTGTTCTGTTTTATGATAAGTACAGCTATAAGGTCACTTTATAAGGTAACCAATATAACATTTTACCAAGTAGTTAACAGAAAGTCATTTTTTTACCCTCTTTAATTCTTTGGAATTCAGATTTTTAGGATTAGAGAAAACCTTACTTAGCTCTACCTCTTGATGATACGATATATCATAAGACAATGCTCTTGAGAAAATATCCTTTAACAAGTATAATTTATCACAAAACTTTGTTTTTTTTTAAGGATTTTTAAGGATAAATTTCTTTTGATGTTGGAAATGTTACTGGCTATTACATGGATATAAAAACCTAAGAATTCGATCAAACTTGGTAAATAGGTACTACTTATTACATGCTTTAAAATACGATATATAAGGCTTACTTTAAATCAACCCTTGATAATAAACTATCAGCTGCTCCTAAGCAACTCAATTTGATTACATTTAATTGGGATGAAGATGCTATTATCCCACAAATTAAAATTTATTTTAAGTCATCAACCCCAATTTAAACAATAAGTATTAAGGTGAATGGAAACCTAGTAGCTTCTAATAGATACGTTTCAATAGATCCTATAGATGGATGCTTAAATATTTATCCAAAAAAATATAATAAGCCTCCATAATTTCCTATTAATATAACAATAACTAATTGCCAAGATGGAAAGGTTTTATCAAACTAGCAATGCGTTTCTAACTGTCCAGGTGGATAATATCTACTTAATTCTATCTGCTTAGATGGACAATAAAAAAATGGGTATTATATTTAAAATAATTAATACTTACCATGTTTAGGAGGAGCAAATAATTAATGTAAAGTTTGTTCAACTTCAAATGACTGTTAAAGCTGCTTCCTTTCACAATTTTCATAGGCTAATTTATGCTATGCTAACTAGTACTAATAATTTAATTCTGGAGGAAGTTTTCAGAATTGTATTCAAAATTGCTAATCTTGCTAAGATCAATAAACTTGTTCTGTATGTGTTGATGGATATGTTTTGAGCTAAGACAAATAATCATGTAATCTTTGCCCATAAGGAAATTATATCTAAGGTGATTAATGTATTCCATGCCCCTCTATATTTAATTGCGCTGACTGCTTTTCTGATAAGGCAGGATCATGTAGATCATGCTAACCTGGGTTTACTTTAGTTAAAGGATTTTGTTAAAAAGAATGCATTTAAGGTAAGTACCTTGATAGTAATGACATATGCTAACCTTGTGATCCAATTTGCTTTGAGTGCTTTGGTAGCGGATAAAATAATTGTACTGATTGCTCAAAAGGAAAAATTATGACTATATATATATACAATAAAAATCAAACGTGTATAAAACAAATTTGTAAAAAAAATGAATTTATTAACACTTATCTTAGTTGTCAACAATGTTTTGATTAAACAAATCAAAATGGGTGCTTTGATGCTTATCCTCACTCTATTATTTGTGATTCAGGCTATTATGCTCAATAAAATGTAGCTGGATGCTAAATGTGTGACACAAACTGTAAAGAATGCTTGTACTAATCTACAAACTGTATTTAATGTAATTAAGACTACATTTTAGATTCTGGAAATAATGGTTAGTGCTAAAAGTGCTAAGATGGTTTTTATGCACCTCTTAATGCGAAAACTTGCCTTAGTTGTATTAGTCCATGTAAAACTTGCTCTGGGTCCAGCAACAACTGCTTAACATGTCTAGATGGTTTTTATTTCGATAATTACAGCTAATAATGTACTAAGTGTGATTTTTCTTGCACAAAATGCTCAGGATCTTCAATAAATTGCACTGAATGTTAAAGCGATTAATTTCTGAACAATGGAAAATGCATAAAATGTGATGTAAGTTGTATGGAATGTATAGGATCTTCAACAAATTGCACAAAATGTTAAAGCGGTTAATTTTTGAGCAATGGAAACTGCATAAAATGTGATGTAAATTGTATGGAATGTATGAATACATCAACTTAATGTACTAAATGCCCTTAAAATTTATACTTATCATAAAATAAATGCTTGAGTGATTGTCCAGCAGGCTAATATGTGGATTCTTAACTAGGAATATGCAAAGATTGTGACAAATCTAAGAGCTAAGAATGTTTAAAGAAGTAAAATATAAAATAAAGTGATACAAAAAATGATCTGGAGTAAGGCGCTTTAGTTGGCATAGTCCTTGGTTCTCTTGTATGTTTTACTGTAGTTATTATGACCCTGCGTTATTTTTATAAAAAGAGAAAATAAAATTTAGTTATTTAAATAGATCCAAATTTTATGAATAATTTTGTTTCTACTAATAACTAAATTAATACACAGAGAGATATTGAAACAAAAAATTAGCTAGATGAAAAAAAAAGTTAGGAGAAAGCAATAGAATAAACAGATTTTAAAGTAATAAATTGATTGATTGATTTACATTCATGCTAAGATTGCTAAAACAATAAAAATAAAATTTATTTTTGATTAAAAGATAAAAAATGGTTTTAATAGTATAGAGAAAGATAGAAATAAATAAAAAACTAATATTTGGTTTTAATTAAAAAATTTTTGTTAATGATAGTATATAAAAAGTAAACATAGATATTGAAACAATTACATATTTTTAGTTGATTGATATTTTTTAATTTAAAATTAAAATGAATTTTATTTTAAGTTTTTTTTTAATTTTAATTTAATTTTTATTATGTGTAAAATTTACTTTAAATTAAAATCTAATTTAAATTTATTCGTTCTTTTTTGATAATTATTAAAAATTATAATTTATCTTTTTTTAAATTTGCTAAAATAATCAGAACATAATAGAATAATACTCAGTGATTAAAATAGGTGCCGATTTTTCGACATTTTCCTCAAAAAAAAAATTTTTTTTTATCTAAAATTTCAGTGTATAGCCTTGAAAAAGGCAGTAAGTACCCTACATTACTATACATACATAAATAAAGATTTATTAAATTTTCAATAATATCAATTATTATTTTGTATAAATATCTCATTTATTTTAATCAATCAGAAAGCAATAATTTAGTTTTTAGTTATTTTAAAGACTTCTTTATTACCTCTCTGGCTTAGAATTCTTAGCAAAATCCTTAAGTAGCTCTCTAATTCATAGGGATTTCAAACCAAAAGGACAAATATGGATGGTATATCGAATCTTTGAAAAAGGAGTAGGTAATAAATAAATAAATAAAAAAATAATTTATTTTTATTAGAAATTTTATATTTCTAACTTAATCTACTATAAATATTTATTTAAAATTTTGATGAACATTAGAAATATAAAATAAATTGTAAAAGAATTTTCTTACATTCAAATAATAAATAAATGTAATGAATTACAGAAATAATTCAAATATTAATAAAATTACTATAAAAAGCTAATTTATTGTAAATAAAATGATGTGGTTAATATTGTAATAATTTGTAATAGTTACTAACTTGAAGAATTTAAAAAATATATAGTTCGATTAGCTTTGAGGAAAGTTTAATTAATATCAAATTCGTACTAGTTTTCTCAATTATAAGTAAGGTATTTAGTATGATAAAATAAGTTTATAATAACTATTAAATGTAATTCAATTTTTAATATAGTTCTAGTTTTACCTTTAAATTAAATATTGTGTGTGCATTTTATCACAAAACCATAAACATTTAAATCTAATTTAATAATATTAAAATATATTACTTATGAATATTGTTAATTGTTTTGTTTCTTTCAAATTAAACTGTTTTTTTTATTTATTCATTTGATTGAATAATTAAATCAAGTTTTATCATTTAAAAATTAAAGTTGAAGCCTTCCCTTTTTGCATATAGCTGTTCCTACATTTGAAATATCACTAACAATTTGTGATATTTCAAATGATTTCTATATTACTAATTAATTTTTTTTTCTTTATAAATCTTAATTTCTTTATACTTGATTTCAAAATGTTTCAAAAATTAATCAAAATACATAAAGAAACTTTTTTCAAATTTTCATAGAAAAAAAATATTTTTAAACTTTTTTGAAAATAATTTTAAATAAAAAAATAATTTATCAATAATAGAATACATTTAAACAAAATAAAAATATCTTAATTAAATAAATACCATAAATTAATTTTCAATAAAAATGATATTGTATATTCCATGATTAATTAGAACTGCATCAATTTTATTCTACAATTTCAATAATTTAAATTTTATCTCCAGTTCTACTTGAACCATAAAATCCAAGGCAGAAATAAAATCTATAATAATTTTTTAACAGACTACCTATATGTTAAATTTCTCTTTAGGAATTGTAATTCGGATAATCTGTAATTTGAATGAAATATTTTGAAATTTATACTCTAATTTCAAAGAACTCTTCATTTGAATTTTTTTAATCATTTTTTTGATCAGATTTAATAGTATCTTAGATTTCAGAAGTAGAAATCAATAATCTAGAATTTGCATCATATTTTTTATTCTTGAAATCAGGGCTATATAATCCAAATTTAAACGATGTTTTGTCTGATGCTTTTACAACTTTTATTCTAAAAGTATAACTTTTACATCTATTTAAATTGTAATTCAAATAACATAAACTTTCGAAACAATAATTATAACTACAGTATTTTTCTTTATTTAATTAAGTCCAAAAATAACCTTATTCGTCTATTCCTAAATCTAAATACTATTATTCATCCTTATATTAGTCGAATTTCATTAGCATATAACCTTTTAGAAAGAGATTTATGCTAAAATTACACTGTTCTAATTTAATTTTTGAAGTTATATAATCTTTATGAGACATCACTTTTTAGTACAATTAAAATATATTTAAATTTACATTTTATAAAGCATCTATGCTTTCCTTTTAAAAATTAAGTAGCAAAGTTTGCTATTATTCAATAAGATTGTCTAAAGATACATTTTTAGCTATATTGTTAACAATGCCATTTTTTAATAAATCAAATTATTTAATTAAATACTGAATTTAATTGCTGATTTTTAAATGAGCCAATTTTAATTCTTGCAACTCAGTTTCTTTATTTTTTATATTTTCATTTGAAATCGTTTCTTTTTCCTCTGAAAAATCTAACAAATAGTAAGGAGTAAAATTAACGAATTAAAAAATATCTTTAAGGGTTTCTTTAATAAAAGAAAAATCCTTTTGATTAAATTAATTTATGAATTCATACTTTTTTATCATATAAGAAAGAATAGCTGTATGTTCATCAGTTTTTTAATACTATTAATCAATTTGTAATTTAATTTCTTTTTCTATTTCTTCTGTAGATTTTTCTTCCTAATTTATGCATTCTTTCATCTAAACCAAATAGGACATTTTGCAGTATTCTTAAATAATCTCATTTTTAAAATCTTTAATTTATTAAAGCTCTATGAGGGATTTCTTTTTCTTCTCAGACAAGTATCTTCACAATATCCGAGCTTAGTTAATCAAAATAATCTATTATTTGTTATTCAGAATTAGTATTATCATCTTTTAATTTTAATATTTTCTGTCTTAAGCATTCATCAGAAATAGGTGGCCAATTTTCGTAATATGATTGTTCATTGCATTTTTTAATATCTTAAATATACAAACAATTTACTTCTTACTTTAGACTTGAAAGGCATTTAGCACATTTAAGTATACGATCAGAATCTTTCATAAGATTAACAAATATAATTGGAAAATTATCATGATATTCACACTACAATTCTTTATTCATTTGGCTGAAAAAATATTAATTAATTTATTTTCTTTATTAAATTCAATTTAGTGATAATTAATTTATATTTTTTCTCTACAAGTTAGAATAATATAAATTAAATTAAAAGTCAAATTATTAGCAATATTTATTTCAAAATTATAAATAAATTCAGTTTAAAACACCTAAAAATTTCAAAAAAAGCAACTATTTATCAAAAAATAAAATTTTAAAAAATTATTTACATTTATTTTGATTTTATGTGAATGTAAATGATAGCAAAAACTCAAAAAGTAATTCTTGGATACACTATTTAGTAAAGTTTTATTTTTAAAAGCTAAATACAATTTTTTTTTTACAAATATAACCTAAAAAAGAGTAAATGATTTCATTTTAAGAGAGAACAAATTTAAATATTTTATTTTTGTTTATTAAAATAAACTCAAGAAAAATAAAGAAGAAGAGATGCATTTGTTTGTTTCAATAGCCTATTTATATGTAACGAATTAATTTACGTTCAATAATGAATGAGTGTTTGAAGTAAAAAGGTTATTTATGTTATAATTTTTCAAAGACTAATAAAAAATAAATGATTGGTAAATTAATTTACTTTTCACTCTAATTATAATAAGATAATTTTTTTTACATTCTTAACAGAATCTATTTTACATCACTTTTAATTAACTTAAATCAAATTAAATTTTTTCAATAAATCAATTATAAATCTTCTTTATTTAATTTCATATTTAGATGGAATGATTATTAATAATAATCATGAAAATGGAAGATATCTTATGAAATATAGTTCTTGTGAACGAAAGGGTTCTTCTTAAATAATTAATGACACAAGGAAGTTATAAGAATAGCTAATAATGGAAAGCATGCAGAGGTTTTAATCAAAGTCTCCTAAGATAAATTCTTAATATAATCAAATAAGTATTAGTGGATATAAAAAAAATGATTAAATTTTAGAGAAAGCATTTAAATAAATAGAGCAAATAAAGCAAAAAGAATTAAAAAGGTGGATTGTAAAAAAAATTTGAGAAGAAAAGTGATTAGCTATTTGATTATCTAAATAATTAAAAGAATCTAATCACTGTCGAAGGAAAAATATATGTTAAAGATGATAATCAAAACAAATAAAGCCGCTTAAGATATTCTAAAGATGATTTGAATAAATAAGATTATGAATAAAATGATGATATACAAATGCGAAAGCATTCAACTCCAATTAAAGTTATTAACGACTTTAAAAATTATTTAAACTAGAATTAAACTAACAATTTAAATTAAAAGCACTCAAAATAGAGATACAATAAATCATAAGAAATTTAGCATATCAATAAAACAGAAGCGAGTCAATTAACCTAGTAAGAATAGCTTTAAAGCTAAATAAACACAAATTTCTTAAATATTTAAAATTTAAACTAAAAAATTAAATAGTAAAATGCATCTTAAATTATTAGCAATTCGACGATTCATTTATACTAAATCATCAATCCCAAGTTAAATTAAAACAAAATTCTGTAAATATTCCAACTCACTCATATGAAATTATTATGTCTAATAAGCATTCAGATGTAGATCTCAAAAACTCTCAACATAATTTAAATAATTAATCTGTTATTCTTAGATCAATAGCTGACTGCGAAGAAGCTGATATAGCAGTTCAATAGCATGAAATAGAAAAATAATGCAAAACAAACAAATATCTTAGTAGACTTGGTCTTAATAATAAATACAGTAAAAGAGACTATTTAAAAGTGTAAAACTAAAGTTAAGTCAATAAAGAGTTTTTAAATATAAATTTTGATAGTGAAAATCTAAATCCAAAGTCAAAGAATATTAATTAAATATCTTCTAAAGTATAATGTTCTAGCTAGAAGGCAGGTTTTAATGAAAAAATATATCCTTAACTAGGAGATCAAGTCTTTTAAAATAAGAAACAAAGATCTTTTACAACTTAATTTGAAAATAATTAGCATCTAAACAAATAAAAGTGTTAAGAAATTCTACCGCTAAATATAAAATATATCTCTAATTCAAATTAAGAAGTTAAAAATAGTTAATAATCCTATTAAAACTACACTACCCGTAACTAATAATATTCAGACTTTGAAAGATGATATTTTCATAACCAAAGGGTATTGAATTTAAAATTAACAGATATTCAAAAAGAGCCCAATATAAAAATATATAATCAGTACAGTATTTGAAACTACTGAGCCATAGACTTCAGTTTTTATTATTTTAAAGTAATTTAAATTTATATGAATTTAAATGTTAGCAAAAACTCAAAAAGCAATTTTTGGATACACTATTTATTAAATTTTTTTAAAAGCAAGATATATTTTTTTCAGGCAAATATTACTTAAAAATGAGTAAATAATGATTTCATTTTAAGAGAAAAAAATATTTTATTTATTAAAATAAATTAAATAAAAATTACGAATAAAAATGTATTTATTTGTTTGCTTTCAATAGCATATTTATATGTCATGCTATAAATGCCTAAAAAAAACAAAGGATTGGTAAATTAATTAATTTAGATTTTCGCAAAGGGTTCTTCTTAAATAATTAATGACACAAAGAAATTATAAGAATAGCTAATAATGGAAAGCCTGCATTAATCAAAATCTCCTAATATATTTTCTTTTTCATCAAATAAAATATTGGTGGATATATAAGAAATGATTATATTTTAGAAAAGACATTTAAATAAATAGAGCAAATAAATCATAAGCACTCACAAAATAAATTTGAATGATCCTAATTTTAGTTAAAAAGAATAGGTTTGAATCCTATTTCTTTTCAGTATATTGTTTTTAAAAAATAGCAGAATAATTCAATTTATCCTTTTTTAGAATAAAAAATAGGAAAAACATAGGTATTCCTTAATACATTTAATAAAAATCAGAATTAAAAAATAGTTAGATTATCTAAAAGTAAAAATAATTAGAAGAACAATAGAACCCTGATGATTCTCAGTATTATCTAGTTTAGAAAGAATCTTATTCTTTTATAGATAATCAGAGTATAAATTATAAACAAACTACAAAGAGCTAAAAATATTGAATAACACCAAAATGAATGCACTCAATAGGCAAATAAACCGTTAAAGAACATTTTAAGTTCTAAAAAAAAAAAAGTTAAATAATCAACATCAAGTTTAAATATAAAATAAATTTTCTAATATAAAAAATTAAAAAGTAAGAAAACGAATTAGAGCCTTTGAAATAACACAATCAGAGAAAAAAAGAAAAGTATTCTAAAAACCTGTAAAAATTTTAATCAAAAGCAATGTATCAAGTGTGGCATCTCCGAATAATTAATCACCATAAAGGATATTCTCGCCTACAAAAAAAAAGATTTTAATAACAAGAATCAGGTTGGCAAATTAAATAAAAATGGTTTATTAAATAAGAGCTATATTATTTCTTCCTAGTCAAATAATCATCAATTATAATAACAAAAATAAGATATTTAAGATAAAAATAATTAAAAAGGTGGATTATAAAAAAAAATTTGAGAAGAAAAGTGATTGGTTATTTAATTATCTAAATAATTAAAAGAATATAATCACCATTGAAGAAAAAATAAACAGATGCTTCAAATAAAGTAACCCGCGACTTTTTTTTGATTTTGATTTATAAGGATATGATTTATAAAAATACATTAAAAATATAAGGGTTACATTATACGAAACATCGTATGTTACAGATGATAATCAAAATAAAAAATACACTTAAGATATTCTTAAGATGATTTGAATAAATAAGATTATGAATAAAGTGATGAAATACAAATACGAAAATTTTCTACTCCGATTAAAGTTATTTATGACTTAAAAAACAATAAAATATTCCTTACAAAAATTTTTTATGAATTTAGAAACCAAAGTAGTCTTTGAATTCCCTGCATTTCATCATAGTTTTCCTTTTTCTCTAAATTTTTTTTTGCATAAAATTTGAGGTTAAAGGAATTAGCTGAAGCATTCTAATTTCTCTCAACTAGAATCTAACTAACAATTTTAATTAAATGCATTCAAAACAGAGATACAATAGAATATAAGAAATTTATCAAATCAATAAAACAGAAGCTAAAATCATCAATCCCAAGTTTACACTTAAAGGAAAGCGAAATTCAATTAAAAAGACTAGGGGATTAAGTCTTAAAAAATAAGAAAGAAAGGTCTTTTACTACATAATTTGATAGTAATTAACATTTAAACAAATAAAAGTGTTAAGAAGTACTAACGCTAAATAGAATGTGTATCTCTAATTAAAACTAGTTAAATAAAAATGGTTAGTAATCTTATTAAAACTACAATCTATAACATAAAAATAAATAAAAACAATAGCAAGTTGTGAATTTTTAAACGCTTTTTTCCCAATAAAATTATTTTATAAGTCCAAAATTATCTATAAATATGACTACTATGCGAAAAAGGAAGTAAAAATATTAACTAATTATCTAAATATTGGGAGAAAAATATAGATAAAATGATAACAGAAATGAACAGTTTTGATTAATAGGATAATAACCTTTAAGAATAATTGTCAGAGGAGGAAAAACAAAAATATATTGATATTATTAAAAATAAAGATTTAACACGGATTTTAGAAGTTAAATCTAAATTAATTAATCAACCTTTTTATCTTTTTGTTTCAAACTCTTTTTCTGAGTTTAAATTTGTTAATTAAAAAACAAATGTATTTTTTGCTAGAAAAAAACTAAAGTTTTTACACAAATAATAGAAAATAATTTTAAGGAATCTTAATTCCATATTACTTTTATTTAAATTACATACATGTTAAAAATATTTTATTGTTTATTTTATTCATTTATATATATTTATATATATATTAGGGTTCGACTGAATAAATGGTTTTTTGCAATTTAAAAATACAGCATACTGAAGTATTACTTCTTTTCATTCATATAAAAAAATAAAATAAGAAAAATCTTGCCAATAAGGTGGTGGGATATTTAATCACTATATATTTTCTCAATTTTATATAATTTTATGTGCTTCTAAATATATAGTAAAGCAATTAATTACAATTTACATGGCATCTTATTAAAATTATTAATAGTGTTAATTAGTATATGATATAAATGATTTTATTTAATCAATAAAAATGGTATAGATTACTTAGTTAATAGTTTTTTTTAAATGTTTCATTTTTAGTAATCGGTTAAATAAAGAATTTATTTTGATTAGAAATTTATATTGTATACCTCTTTTAACTTAATCTACTATCAATATTTATTTAAATTTTGGAAACATATTTAAAAAAATTGTTTTAGAATTTTATTCCATTCAAATATAAATTAAATAAAGAAATGTATTACACAAATAATTCAAATATTAATAAAATTATTATAAAAAGCTAATTAATTGGTTCGATAGAATTATATGCGTGATATTGCTATAATTTTTAATACATAAGATCCTGGTGGATTTCAAAAATAAAAGGTTCGTTCTGCTTTGTGGTAAATTTAATTTTAATCAAACTTTTATCAGTTTTCTAAATAATAAGTTAAGCAACATGAATAAGATAAGGAAATTAACATTTTTAAATTCATCTATTAATTTTATAAAAACTTATCTCAGTTTAAATAGAAGACAGAATATGCACTTTATGTATTAAATAATTAATATAAACAAATACTAAACAAAGAAATAAGCAAAATAAAATAAAAGATGTTACTAAAGAATCTCTGCTAAATATTATATTTGCAAATTTTAGTTTAGATATCATTTTAGATAGACTGTGTGATATAAAACTCCATACTTAATGTGCCTTCTACAGGTTGTGATCTTCCCTATGTATAAAATTAAATTACTTAGGTAGATTAGATCATTTTAAACGGTTAGCTGGCTATTAGTAGATTCGCTAATTTATAGTATAAGACTTTGGTAGCCAATGAAGGAGCTGCTATGAATCTGACATCGAATTATGAGCAGATTAAAATTGAAGACATAGGAACAAATGGTTGTAACTTAGAGGATCTTAAACCAATAGCTATGAGTCTATCATCTAAATCTGAGAACCTTATTTATAATATCTACTCTATTTCTAATAGTAATTAGCTAACTATAGGAGATTTGCCAATAGGATTGTTTCATGGAGTAAAGATATTAATTTCTTCTCTATCAGGTCTTACAGAATATGCTTTAGTTGATAAGATAGATGATCAAGTCATATATCTATAAAATCCTCTATCAAATAATCATTTAAGCTGGTAGGTTGCAGGATAATCTCTAAAAACATATTATCCTTAATTAATAGTCATTGATGAATAAAGGATAATCTTTAAAAAGTAATAAATTATAATATTTAACTCTCTCAAAGCTTTTTTTTTCAACATAAAAAACATAAAAGACATATTTCATAAATTTATTTTCAAATATTTTATTTTAACTCAAAATTTAGAATATTTTTTATTTAAAAAGTGCATGTTTAAGAGTATTTCCTTAAAAGCCTAAAGGTAGTTATTAATTTTCTGGAATTCTTTTCTAAGACATGAAAGGTCTTTCTATTGAGAATTAAAATCTAAGTAAAATAATAGGGCTTACTGATTCAATATTTTTAAACTCAGATAACTTTAAAAGCCAATTCTTGTAGATTACAAGATAATTAAGCAATATTATATTAATTGGAGTTAATAAACTTACTATCAATAATTTAAATTAAAATGCATAAATAAACTAATTTAGTATGTACAGGATGCACTAATCTTTACTTGAAATGAATGGGCTACCTAATACTCCAAATTAAATTTAGCTAGTAATGTCGAATTTAAATGATTGCTAAGTAACTTTGATGTTAAAGAATAGTAGCTAAACTGAATAAAAAATAGAAGATACATATATTTTAAATACTTAATTAATATTCTCTATCTAAAATATGAAAACTCTTAACATACTTAATAATAAATTACTTAACTGTATTTTGAGTACAATTAAATAAAATCCCATTTAATTAACCATGAGATAAAACTAAATAGCAGGTAAGGAACTAAACTTGGAAAACTTTATATTCTAAAACGCAACTATCTTTTAAAATTATTTTGATGGTACAGGGTTAAAGTATGCCATCCTTCTATAGTAATACGTATAGTAAGAAGTGGGATAAGCCAAAATATAAATAATTTATAATAGATTCTCAAATTTTGAATATCAAGGCTATGATTTAATTACTTCAACACTTTAAAGCACTGGCTATTAGGAAACTGTTTTGTTTTATGATAAGTACAGCTATAACGTCACTTTACAAAGTAACCTCTATAACATTTTACCAAGTAGTTAACAGAAAGTCATTTTTTTACCCTCTTTAATTCTTTGGTATTCAGATGGTAGCACTAACCCTAAATTAGTTCTCCCTCTTGATGATACGATATATCATAAGACAATGATTTAGAGAATATATCCTTTAACAAGTATAATTTATCACAAACCTTTGTTTTTTTTTTAGAATTTCTAAGGATAAATTTCGTTTGATGTTGGAAATGCTACTGGCTATTACATGGATATAAAAACCTAAGAATTTGATCAAACTTGGTAAATAGGTACTACTTATTACATGCTTGAAAATACAATATATAAGGCTTACTTTAAATCAACCCTTCATAATTAATTATCAGCTGCTCCTGAGCAGCTCAATTTGATTACATTTAATTGGGATAAAGATGCTATTATCCCACAAATTAAGATTTATTTTAAGTCATCAACCCCAATTTAAGCAATAAGTGTTAAGGTGAATGGAAACCTAGTAGCTTCTGATGGATACGTTTCAATAGATCCTAAAGATGGATGCTTAAATATTTATCCAAAATAATATAAATAGCCTCCATAATTTCCTATTAATATAACAATAACTAATTGCCAAGATGGAAAGGTTTTATCAAACTAGCAATGCGTTTCTAACTGTCCAGGTGGATAATATCTACTTAATTCTATCTGCTTAGATGGACAATAAAAAGAAGGGTATTATTTTTAAAATAATTAATACTTACCATGTTTAGGAGGAGCAAATAATTAATGTAAAGCTTGTTCAACTTCAAATGACTGTTAAAGCTGCTTCCTTTCACAATTTTCATAGGCTAATTTATGCTATGCTAACTAGTACTAACAATTTAATTCTGGAGGAAGATTTCAGAATTGTATTCAAAATTGCTAATCTTGTAAAGATTAATAAACTTGTTCTGTATGTGTTGATGGATATGCTTTGAGCTAAGATAAAAAATCATGTAATATTTGCCCATAAGGAAATTATATCTAAGATTAGGAATGTAATCCATGTCCCTCTAATTTTAATTGTGCAGACTGCTTTTCTAATTTGGGAGGATCATGTAGAACATGCAAACCTGGGTTTACTTTAGTTAAAGGATTTTGTTAATAAACATGCATTATTTAGGGTTAGTACCTTGATAGTAATGGCATATGCTAATCTTGTGATCCAGTTTGCTTAGAATGCTCAGGCAGTGGATAAAATAATTGTACTAAATGCTCAAAAGGAAAATTTTTATATGTATAAAATAATGTTAAAACGTGTTAAAATTTAACATGCAACAAATTTTAATTTTTCAGTAATGATCGATGTCAAAAATGTTTTGACTAAACAAATCAAAATGGGTGTTTTGATGTTTATCCTCACTCTATTATTTGTGATTCAGGCTATTATGCTCAATAAAATGTAGCTGGATGCTAAATGTGTGACACAAGCTGTAAAACATGCTTGTACTAATCTACAAACTGTATTTAATGTAATTAAGACTACATTTTTGTTTCTGGAAATAATGGTTAGTGCTAAAAGTGCTAAGATGGTTTTTATGCACCTCTAAATACGAAAACTTGCCTTAGTTGTATTAGTCCATGTAAAACTTGCTCTGGGTCCAGCAACAACTGCTTAACATGTCTAGATGGTTTTTATTTCGATAATTACAGCTAGTAATGTACTAAGTGTGATTTTTCTTGCACAAAATGCTCAGGATCTTCAACAAATTGCACTGAATGTTAAAGCGATTAATTTCTGGACAATGGAAAATGCATAAAATGTGATGTAAGCTGTATGGGATGTATAGGATCTTCAACAAATTGCACTGAATGCTAGAGTGGTTAATTTGTGAGCAATGGAAAATGCAAATAATGTGATGTAAATTGTATGGAATGTATGAATACATCAACTTAATGTACTAAATGCCCTTAAAATTTATACTTATCATAAAATGAATGCTTGAGTGATTGTCCAGTAGGCTAATATGCTGATTCTTAACTAGGAATGTGTAAAGATTGTTATATCAAGAGCTAATAATGTGCTGAATGTGATTTGTCTTGCTCTAAATGCTCTGAATCTTCAACAAATTGCACTGAATGCTAGAGTGGTTAATTTGTGAGCAATGGAAAATGCATAAAATGTGATGCAAATTGTATTGAATGTATGAATACATCAACTTAATGTATTAAATGCCCTTAAAATTTATACTTATCATAAAATAAATGCTTGAGTGATTGTCCAGCAGGCTAATATGTGGATTCTTAACTAAGAATATGCAAAGATTGTGACAAATCTAAGAGCTAAGAATGTTTAAAGATGTAAAATATAAAATAAAGTGAGAAAAAAAATGATCTGGAGTAAGGCGCTTTAGTTGGCATAGTTCTTGGTTCTCTTGTATGTTTTACTGTAGCTATTATGACCCTGCGTTATTTTTATAAAAAGAGAAAATAAAATTTAGTTATTTAAATAGATCCAAATTTTATGAATAATTTTGTTTCTACTAATAACTAAATTAATACACAAAGAGATATTGAAACAAAAAATTAGCTAGATGAAAAAAAAAGTTAGGAGAAAGCAACAGAATAAACAGATTTTAAAGTAATAAATTGATTGATTGATTTACATTCATGCTAAGATTGCTAAAACAATAAAAATCAAATTTATTTTTGATTAAAAGATAAAAAAATGGTTTTAATAGTATAGAGAAAGATAGAAATAAATATAAAAACTAATATTTGGTTTTAATTAAAAAATTTTTGTTAATGATAGTATATAAAAAGTAAACATAGATATTGAAACAATTACATATTTTTAGTTGATTGATATTTTTTAATTTAAAATTAAAATGAATTTTATTTTAAGTTGTTTTTTTTAAATTTTATTTTAATTTTTTTTTTATGTGTAAAATTTACTTTAAATTAAAATCTAATTTAAATTTATTCGTTCTTTTTTGATAATTATTAAAAATTATAATTTATCTTTTTTTAAATTTGCTAAAATAATCAGGACATAATAGAATAATACTCAGTGATTAAAATAGGTGCCGATTTTTCGACATTTTCCTCAAAAATTTTTATCGATTCCTAAAAATAATATAACAAAAATCTTGCCAATAAGGTGGGTGGTTTGATATTTTATTAATATATATTATCTCGAGTTTAGATAATTTTATGAGCATCTAAATATATATAGTAACGCAGTTAATTTTAATTTACATAATAAAATAAATATCTTTTTTAAATTCTCAATAATATTAACTAGTATTTGGTTAGTATAAATATCTTTTTTTAATCAATCAAAATACTATATTTTAGTTTATTGTTTTTTTAAATGTTTCTTTTTGAGTGATGGGTTAAATAAATAATATTTTTATTAGAAATTTATATTACATATCTCTTTTAATTTAATCTACTATACATATTCATTTAAAAGTTTCATAAACATATTAAAAAAATTGTTTTAGAATTATTTCATTCAAATAAAAAAATAAATACAGAAAATGTATTACAGAAATAATTCAAATATCAATAAAATTATTAAAAGAAGCTAATTAATTGGATAAATAAAATTAAATGGCAAAATTACAATAATTTGTAATAGATAAAAACCTGCTTGATTTGAAAAATATAAAATTCGATTCATTTATGGTTTTGTGGGAAATTTAATTTTAATTAAAACTTTTCTTATTTTTCTCAATAATAATATATGCATGAATTAAATAAGTAAATTAACATTTTTAATGTAATTTATCTGACCATTGTTTAATTTTATAAAGACTTATCTAAATTTAAATATAAGATAAGATATGCACTTTATTTATTAGTTAATATAGCAAACACTAAAACAAAGAAAAAAGCTAGATTTGAAAGGTATAAATATCTTTTTTTAATCAATCAAAAGACTATATTTTAGTTTATTATTTTTTTAAAATGATTATTTGAGTGAAGAGTTAAATAAATAATATTTATATTAGAAATTTATATTATATATAAATCTCTTTTAACTTAATCTTCTATAAATATTTATTTAAAATTTTCATAAACATATTAAAAAAATTGCTTTAGAATTATTTCATTCAAATAAAAAATAAATAAAGGGAATGTATTACAGAAATAATTCAAATATTAATAAAATTACTAAAAGAAGCTAATTAATTGAATAGATAAAATTATATGATTAATATTACAATAATTTGTAATTTGTAATAGATGCAGACCTGTTTGATTTTAAAAATATAAAGTTCGATTCCTTTAGTGGTTTTGCGGGAAGTTTGATTTTAATTAAAACTTTTTTAGTTTTCTCAATAATAAAATAGGCATGAATTAAATAAGTAGATTAACACTTTTAATGTAATTTATCGGACCATTGTTTAATTTAATAAAGACTTATCTCAAATTAAATAGAAGATAGGATATGCACTTTATTTATTAGTTAATATAAGCAAACACTAAAACAAAGAAAAAAGCAAGCAATATATAAAAAAAGATTAGATTTGGTTGGAATAAATATCTTTTTTTAATCAATCAAAATGCTATCTTTTAGTTTATTGTTTTTTTAAATGCTTATTTTTGAGTGAAGGGTTAAATAAATAATATTTATATTAGAAATTTATATTATATAATTCTTTTCAATTAATCTACTATAAATATTTATTTAAAATTTTGGTAAACATATTATAAAAGTTGTTTTAGAATTATTCCATTCAAATAAAAAAATAAATACAGAATATGTATTACATAAATAATTCAAATATTAATAAAATACTAAATAAAAGAAGCTAATTAATTGGGTAGAATTATATGATTAATATTACAATCATTTGTAATTTGTAGTAGATACAGACCTGTTCGAATTTAAAAATATAAAGTTCGATTCGTTTAGTGGTTTTGCGGGAAGTTTGATTTTAATTAAAACTTTTATTAGTTTTCTCAATAATAAAATAGGCATGAATTAAATAAGTAAATTAACATTTTTAATGTAATTTATCGGACCACTTGTTTAATTTAATAAAGGCTAATATCAAATTAAATAGAAGATAGGATATGCATTTTATTTATTAGTTAATATAAGTAAACACTAAAACAAAGAAACAAGCAATATAAAAAAAAAAGATTATATTTGGTTGGTATAAATATCTTTTTTTAATCAATCAAAATGCTATCTTTTAGTTTATTGTTTTTTTTAAGATGCTTCTTTTTGAGTGAAGGGTTAAATAAATAATATTTATATTAGAAATTTATATTATATAATTCTTTTCAATTAATCTACTATAAATATTTATTTAAAATTTTGGTAAATAAACAAAATAAAAAAAGTATGAATTAAATAAGTAAATTAACATTTTTAATGTAATTTATCTGACCATTGTTTAATTTTATAAAGGCTTTTCTCAATTTAAATAGAAGATAGGATATGCACTTTATTTATTTATTAATTAATTAATATAAAAAAACACTAAAACAAAGAAATAAGCAATATAAAAAAAAAGATGAAACTAAAGAATCTCTGCAAAATATTATATTTGCAAATTTTAGTTTAAATATCGTTTTAGATAGATTGTGTGATATAAAACTCCATACTCAATGTGCCTTCTGCAGGTTGCAATCTTCCCTATGCATAAAATTAAATTACTTAGGTAGATTAGCTTATTTTAAATGGATAGTTGACTATTAGTAGATATGCTAGTTTATAGTATAAGACTTTGGTAGTCAATGATGGAGCAGCTATGAATCTGAAATCGAATTATGAGTAAATTAAAATTGAAGACATAGGAACAGATAGTTGTAGCTTAAGCGACCTTAAACCAGTAACTATGAGTCTATCATCTAAATCTCAGAATCTTGTTTATGATATCCTCTCTATTTCTAATAGTAATTAGCTAACTTTAAGATATTTGCCATTAGGATTATTTCATGGCGTAAAAATATTAATTTCTTCTGTATCAGGTCGTACAGAATATGCTATAGTTGATAAGATAGTTGATAAAGTCGTATATCTATAAAATCCTCTATCAAATAATCATTTAAGCTAGTAGGTTATAGGATATTCTCTATAAATAGAATATCCGTAGTTATTAGTCATTGATGAATAAAGAATTATCTTTAAAAAGTAATAAATTATAGTATTTAACTATCTCTAAGTTTTTTTTCTTTTCTACCTAATATACCTAATAGATATATTTAATAAATTTATTACCAAATATTTGAATTTTTTTTCAAAATTAAGATTATTTTTTATTTAAAAAGTGCCTGCTTAAGAATAATTCCCTAAAAACCTCAAGATTATGAAATGAATTCTGGAATTCTTTTTTAAGACATGAAAGGTCTTTCTTATGAGAATTAAGATAAAACTAATATATTAGGGCTCACTCAGTCAATATTTTTAAACTCAGATAACTTTAAAAACCAATTCCTTTAGATTATTTAGCTTACAGGATAAATAACAGATATAATAATAATTGGAGTGAATTAACTTACTATTAATCTTAAATATAGTATAAAAAATATTAGTATGTACAGGATGAATTAATCTTCACTTAATATTAATGCTTTGGATAAAAATTTTAAGGCGATTAATCTTTTTTATTTGTATTCAAATGACTGCTAAGTTACTTTGAGATTAGATTCTTCCTAAAAGTAATACTCTTTATTTAATGCAAAGATTTTAAATACTGAATTAATAATCTCTAGCCTAAACTAAAAATATTATCTAAAGATAGAAGCAAGCAGGTTACTTAATAGTAATTTCAGAACAATTGATGGAAATGCCATATAATTAGTGGTTTCTTCTAACTTTATAGCAGGTAAGGAACTAAACTTGCAAAATGTTTAATATAATTCAGCTATTATTTCATAAAATTATTTTGATGGTACAGGGTTAAGATATGCCATCCTTCTAACTGAATTATCAGTGCTTTAAAAAAACTAAGCAGTTCTCTCATTAAATTTAGAAGGAAATGTTTTTTCAAATTTTGAATATCAAGGCTATGATTTAATTACTACTTCACTATAAAGCACTAATTACTAGGAAATAGTTTTGAGACCTTCTTAGACCTACTACAAAGTCTTTTTATAAATTAACTTCTTTAACATTTTACCAAGTAGTTAACAGAAAGCCATATTTTTACCCTCTTTAAGTCTTTAGTATTAAGACAATTATAGTAGTCCAAAATAGTTTTTAATCCCTCTTGATGATTCCTTATATAATAATACAAGGTTTATTAGAGTATCTCCTTTAACCAACATATTTTATCACAAACCTTTGTATTTTTTTAAGAGTAGATTAGCAACTTTTTAATTTGATATTGGATAAGCTACTGGCTATCACATGGATGCACTGACCTAAGAATTCAAGCAAACTTGGTAAATAGATACTTCTTATTACTTGCTTGAAAATACAATATATAAGGCTTACTTTAAATCAACCCTTAATAATTAGCTTTAAGCTGCTCCTTAGCAACTCAATTTTGTTTTATATTAAGGAAATATCACTACTTTTAATTCTATCCCATAAATTAAGATTTATTTTAAGGCATCAACCCCAATTTAAGCAATAAATGTTACAATAAATAAAGAACCTTAAAAATCTCTTTAATATGTTTCAATAGACCCTATAGATGGATGCTTAAATATTTATCCATAATAAAATCCCACCCAAGAAGATATAAATATAAATATTACAATAACTAATTGCCAAGACGAATAGGTTTTATCAAACTAGAAATGTGTTTCTAAATGTCCTGATGGATAATATCCACTCAATTCCATCTGCTAAGATGGAAAATAAAAAGATGGGTATTTTTTTGAAAATAAATAATACTAACCATGTTTAGGAGGAGCAAACAATTAATGTAAAACTTGTACAACTTCAAATGACTGCTAAAGCTGCTTCCTTCCCGATTTTTTAAAGGCTAATTTGTGCTATGCTAACTAATTCAAGCAATTTAATTCTGGAGGTAGTTTTCAAAATTGTATTCAAAATTGCTAATCTTGCTAAAATCAATAAACTTGTTCTGTATGTGTTGATGGATATGCTTTGAGCGAAGATAAAAAATCATGTAATCTTTGCACAGAAGGAAATTTTATCAAAAATTATTAATGTATTCCATGCCCCTCTAATTTAAATTGTGCAGACTGCTTTTCTGATAAGGAAGGATCATGTAGATCATGCAAGCCTGGGATGACTTTAGTTAAAGGATTTTGTTAATAAATATGCATTCAAGGTTAGTACCTTGATGATAATGGCATATGCTAATCTTGTCATCCAACTTGCTTAGAATGCAATGGAAATGGAAATGCTGATTGCACTAGATGTCCAAAAGGAAGAATTTTTAGTGATAGTTATCCATATACCTGTGATCTAATCACATGCACAAGCCTTAAATTTTAAAATAATAAAAATGAATGTCAAAACTGTTTTGATTAAACAAATCAAAATGGGTGCTTTGATGCTTATCCTAACTCTATTATTTGTGATCCTGGATATTTTGCTCAATAAAATGTATCTGGATGCTAGAGGTGTGATGCAAGCTGTAAAACATGCTAGTACTAATCCACGAACTGTATTGAATGTAATTAAGATTACTCATTTATTTCTGGGAATAGTGGCTAGTGTTAAAAGTGTTAAGATGGTTTTTATGCCCCTGTAAATGCGAAAACTTGCCTTAGTTGTAGTAGCCCATGTAAAACTTGCTCTGGTTCCAGCAACAACTGCTTAACATGTTTAGATGGTTTTTATTTTGATAACACTAGCAAATAATGTGCTAGATGTGATTTTTCTTGCTCAAAATGCTCAGGATCTTCAACAAATTGCACTGAATGTTAAAGAGGTTAATTTTTAAATAATGGAAAATGCATAAATTGTGATGTAAGTTGTAAGGAATGTGATGGATCTTCAACAAATTGCACTGAATGTTAAAGCGGTTAATTTTTAAATAATGGAAAATGCATAAATTGTGATGTAAGTTGTAAGGAATGTTATGGATCTTCAATAAATTGCACTGAATGCTAAAGCAGTTAATTTTTGAACAATGGAACATGCATAAAATGTGATGCTAACTGTATGGAATGTATGGATACATCAACTCATTGCACTAAATGCTCTTAAAATGCATATTTATCATAAAATAAATGCTTGAGTGATTGTCCACAAGGCTAATATGCAGATTCTTAACTAAGAATATGTACAGATTGTGACAAATCTAAGAGCAACAACTGCTAAACATGTTTAGATGGTTTTTATTTAGATAACACTAGCTTATAATGTTCTAAATGTGACTTTTCTTGCTCAAAATGCTCAGGATCTTCAACAAATTGCACTGAATGTTAAAGCGGTTAATTTTTAAATAATGGAAAATGCATAAATTGTGATGTAAGTTGTAAGGAATGTGATGGATCTTCAACAAATTGCACTAAATGTTAAAGCGGTTAATTTTTAAATAATGGAAAATGCATAAATTGTGATGTAATTTGTAAGGAATGTTATGGATCTTCAACAAATTGCACTGAATGCTAAAGCAGTTAATTTTTGAACAATGGAACATGCATAAAATGTGATGCTAACTGTATGGAATGTATGGATACATCAACTCATTGCACTAAATGCTCTTAAAATGCATATTTATCATAAAATAAATGCTTGAGTGATTGTCCACAAGGCTAATATGCAGATTCTTAACTAAGAATATGTACAGATTGTGACAAATCTAAGAGCAAAGAGTGTTTAAATATGTAATATATAAAATAAAGTGAAACATAAAATGGTTTGGAGTAAGGCGCTTTAGTTGGAATAGTGGTTGGTTCTTTTGCATTTTTTACTGCAGTTATCATAACTCTACGTTACTTTTATAAAAAGAGAAAATACAAATCAGTTATTTAAATAAACCCAAGTTAAGAAAATTTTACGAATAATGCTATTTTCACTAATAACTAAATTTATACACAGCGAGATATTGAAACAAAAAGCTAATTAAATGAAAAAAAGAATTAGGAGGAAGCAATAGAATAAAGAGAATTAAAAGTAATAAATATTGATTGATCAATTCATTTGCATTCATGCAAATTTTGTTAAAACAATAAAAATAAAAATTATTTTTGATTAAAAGATAAAATAAGATTTTTATTAATAGAAAGAAAGATAGAAATAAATATAAAAACTAAAATTAGGTTTAACTAAATAACTTTTGTTTGTTAATTTTAGCACTTAAAAAAATTATTTTTAAAAAATAAACATAGGTATTGAAAAAATTGCATATTTTTACGTTGATTGAGTTTTTTTTATTTAAAATTAAAATGAATTTTATTTTAAGTTAATTTTTTTAAATCATACAGATATTTTTCCCTAGTAACTCGTGGTAATGAGATACTATTTGATTTTTAAATATAAAAAAAATTTTTTAATTTGTAATGCTTTTCAAAAAACAATCCTTATGGAAGAGAACCTCATATAAATTTTTACTAATTTTATTATAATAACTCATTGTAATTTTATTAAAAAAGCATATTATTAATTAATTTCTTGAGCTTAATTAATTTTATCTGCTCTAAATATATTTGGTATAACAATCAACTTCAATTTATATGATAACATAAATATTTTTATTAAATTCTCAATAATATAAATAGATATTTGGTTTTAGTAAATTTAAATATCTTTTTTTATCAATCAAAACACTATAATTTTGTTTAATTTAAAATGCTTCTTTTTAGTGTAAGGTTTAATATATAATTTATTTTATTTATGAATTTATGTTATGTTGTATAATCCGTCTAACTTAATCTGCTATAAATATTTATTTAAAAAGTTATTTCTGGATAAGAAAAATTTTATTTCGTTCAAATACAAATATAAAGAAAGAAATTTATTAAAGAAATAATTGAAATTTGTATTAATACAATTACTAGAAAACTAACAAATTGGCTTTTATTAAAATATGATATGATTAATATTGCAATACTTTTTAATAGATTAGAACCTCTAAAAATCAGAAAGTATTCTCTGTTTAATAAATTTATATGAATAGTATTCAAGTTACTTAGTAATATTTAGTAAAAAAAATAATGTGCTGGATTGAGTTGATACTTAGTTCTATTCAGCTTGTAGAAAATTTAATTGTAATCAAATATTTATCAATTGGCTCAAGATAAGTGGTATTAATAATATATGTAAATTTACATTTTTTAAACAATTTATTTATAGAATTATTGTTTGTTTATTTATTTACATATTTTTGAATTGCTGTTATAGGAAGAAAACTAGATGGTAATTACAATTTATTAATGCTATAAAGACTTATCTCAATTTAAATAGGAGATAGGATAAGCAATTTATGTATTTTATTAATATAAGCAAAAATTGTAAATAAGAAATAAGTAAAATAAAAGTAAAGATAGAATCAATAGAAATGAGTCTAAAGAATCTCAGTATAATTTTATATTTTTAAATTTTAGTTTAGATATCGCTTTAGATAGATTGTCTGATATAAAACTCCATACTCAATGTGCCTTCTACAGGTTGCAATCTTCCCTTTGTATAAAATTAAATTACTTAAGTAGATTAGATCATTTTAAATGGCTAGTTGACTATTAGTAGATACGCTAGTTTGCAGTATAAGACTTTGGTAGTTAATAATGGAGCAGCTATGAATTTGAAATCGAATTATGAGTAAATTAAAATTGAAGACATAGGAACAGACAGTTGCAGCTTAAGCGCCCTTAAACCAGTAACTATGAGTCTATCATCTTAATCTCAGAATCTTGTTTATGATATCTACTCTATTTCTAATAGTAATTAGCTAACTTTAAGAGATTTGCCATTGGGATTATTTCATGGCGTAAAAATATTAATTTCTTCTCTATCAGGTCTTACAGAATATGCTATGGTTGATAAGATAGTTGATCAAGTCGTGTATCTATAAAATCCTCTATCAAATAATCATTTAAGCTGGTAGGTTGCAGGAACATCTCTACAAACATATTATCCGAAATTAATAGTCATTGATGAATAAAGGATCATCTTTAAAAGGTAATAAATTACAATATGTAGCTCTTTCTAAGCTTTTTTTTCAACCTAAAAGACATATTTCATAAATTTATTAAAATAATTTTATTTTTAATTCAAAATATTTTTTATTTAAATAGCGCATGTTTAAGAATAATTCCCTAAAAGCCTCAAGATAGTTTAAAAAATTCTGGAATTCTTTTTTAAGACATGAAAGGTCTTTCTTATGAGAATTAAGATCAAAGTAATATAGTAGAACTTGCTCAGTCAATATTTTTAAACTCAGATAACTTTAAAAACCAATTCTTTTCCATTACAGGAAAAATAAGCAATATACTAATAATTGGAGTTAATTAACTTACTATTAATGATCAAACTTAGTTTTCAGGTATATAATATATTAGTATGTACAGGATGCACTAATCTTCACTTAATATTAATGCTCTACCTACAACTCCCAAACCGACTATACTAGATTCATGGTATTCAAATGATTGCTAAGCTACATTGACTTTAAATAATATAAACGCTTCTTACAAGTTACAAAACTCAAATTTTTTAAATTCTCAATTAACAGTCTCCAACGCACAACCTTACGATCTATTAATACTCAGTAATCGCTTACTTAATTTTATTTTCAGCACAAGTAATAGCTATATCAATAACTTAACCATTTAAGCTAACTAAATAGCAGGTAAGGAACTAAACTTGCAAAATGTTTAATATAATTAAGCTAATATTTAATAAAATTATTTTGATGGTACAGGATTAAAATATGCTATTCTTCTAACTGAATTATCTGTGCTTTAATAATACTAAGCATTTCTCTCATTAGAATTAGATGGAAATGTTTTCTCAAATTTTGAATATCATGGCTATGATTTAATTACTACTTCACTTCAAAGTAATGGTTATTAAGAAACAGTTTTGAGGCCTTCTTAGTTCTACTACGAAGTCACTTTAAAAATTAACCTATATAACCTTTTACCAAATAGTTAACAAAAAGTCATTTTTTTACCCTCTTTAAGTCTTTGGTATTAAGACAATTCGAGTAATGACCCTTACTTTGTTCTCCCTCTTGATGATTCCTTTTATCATAATACAAGGTTTATTAGAATATCTCCTTTAACCAATATAATTTATCACAAACCTTTATACTTCTTTTAGTATTACTTAGCTATTGTTTAATTTGATATTGGATAAGCTACTGGCTATTACATGGATACATAAACCTAAGAATTCAAGCAAACTTGGTAAATAGGTACTTCTTATTACTTGCTTGAAAATACAATATATAAGGCTTACTTTAAATCAACCCTTAATAATTAGCTTTAAGCTGCTCCTTAGCAACTCAATTTTGTTATATATTAAGGAAATACAAATACTTTTAATTCTATCCCACAAATTAAGATTTATTTTAAGGCATCAACCCCAATTTAAGTAATAAGTGTTAAGATAAACGGAATATCTGTAGCATCTCCTAAATATGTTTAAATAGATCCTATAGATGGATGCTTAAATATTTACCCATAATCAAATATGAACTAAGCAGATATATCTATTAATATTTCAATAACTAATTGCCAAGATGGATATGTTTTATCAAACTAACAATGTGTTTCTAACTGTCCAAATGGATAGTATCCACTAAATTCTATCTGTTTAGATGGACAATAAAAAAATGGATATTATTTTTAAAACAATTAATACTTGCCATGTTTAGGAGGAGCAAATAATTAATGTAAAACTTGTACAACTTCAAATGACTGCTAAAGCTGCTTCCTTTCCCAATTTTCATAGGCTAATTTATGCTATGCTAACCAGTACTAATAGTTTAATACCGGAGGGAATTTTCAAAATTGTATTCAAAATTGCTAATCTTGCTAAAATCAATAAACTTGTTCTGTATGTGTTGATGGATACGTTTTAAGCTAAGATCAAAAATCCTGTAATCTTTGCCCATAAGGAAATTTTATCAAAGACTATTAATGTATTCCATGCCCTTCTAATTTTAATTGTGCAGATTGTTTCTCTTAATATGGAGGATCGTGTAGATCATGCAAACCTGGGTTTACTTTAGTCTAAGGGTTTTGTTAATAAACATGCATTCAAGGTTAGTACCTTGATAATAATGGCATATGCTAACCTTGTGATCCTACCTGCTTAGAATGCTCAGGGAGTGGAAAAACTAATTGCACTAGATGCTCAAAAGGAAAAACTTTAAATGTATAGCTCTAATCTCAAACATGTGAACAAATTACATGCACAAACCTTTAATTTTAAAATAACAATAATGTATGTCAAAACTGTTTTGATTAAGCAAATCAAAATGGGTGCTTTGATGCTTATCCTAATTCTATTATTTGTGGTCCTGGTTAGTATGCTCAATAAAATGTATCTGGGTGCTAGACTTGTGATGCAAGCTGTAAAACATGCTTGTATTAATCTACGAACTGTATTTAATGTAATTAAGACTATATTTTTGTTTCTGGAAACAATGGTTAGTGTTAAAAGTGTTAGGATGGTTTTTATGCCCCTCTAAATGAGAAAACTTGCATTAGTTGTAATAGTCCATGTAAAACTTGCTCTGGGTCGAGTGGCAACTGTTTAACATGTTTAGATGGTTTTTATTTTGATAACAACAGCTAATAATGTGGTAAGTGTGATTTGTCTTGCTCAAAGTGCTAAGGATCTTCAACAAATTGCACTGAATGTTAAAGTGGTTAATTTTTGAGCAATGGGAAATGCATAAAATGTGATGTAAGTTGTAAGGAATGTATGAATACTTCAACTTATTGTACTAAATGCCCTTAAAATAAATATGTATCATCAAACCAATGCTTGAGCGAATGTCCAGCAGGCTAATATGCTGATTCTTAGCTAGGAATATGTTAAGATTGTGAAAAATCTAAATGCAAAGAGTGCTAAGGATCAAAATACTTTTGCACCTAATGTAATTAAAACTTATTCATTTAAGAAGGAACATGTGTCGCAACTTGCTCTGAAGGATATATTTTATTAAATATGTAATGTATAAAATAAAGTGATACAAGAAACGAATTGGAACCCGGTGCTTTAGTTGGTATAGTGTTTAGTTGCTTTGTATTTTTGATATTAGTTATAATGGCTCTAAGTTACTTTTATAAAAAGAGATAATACAAATCAGTTATTTAAATAGACCCAAATTAAGACAATTTTAAGAATAATGGTGTTTTTACCAATAACTAATTATATACATAGTAAGATATTGAAACAAAAAATTAGTTAGATGAAAAAAAAAATTAGAAGGAAGCAATAGAATAAACAGAAGTTAAAGTAATAAATTGATGGATTGATTTATATTAATGCAAAGTATGTTAAAACCATAAAAATAAAATTTATTTTTGATTATAAGATAAAAAAAAGTTTTAATAGGAGTAAGAAAGATATAAATAAATAAATATAAAAACTAAAATAAGGTTATAAAAAAATCATTTTTCAATATCTTATTTAAAAATTTAAGTTTAAAATATACACATAAATTTTGAAACAATTGAATGTTTTTAGTTGATTGAAATTTTTAAATTTCAAATGGATATAATTACAAAAAAAATTATTTATTATTTTTATATGTATAAAAAATAAATCAATTATCAGTATAATTTTAGTCATTCATTCATTAATATATAGTTTTCAAAATATTTGTTAAAAAATATAACAAAATATGATTAATTTTATTTAACTAAATTGCCTAATATTTTGTTATTTTAATCTTCAAAGTTAAATAATAACATGCAGATGATGAATATTGCTAATAACTTTAAAAGAAGTAAGTATTAGTACAATCTATTTTGTTTATTTTTGCTCTTTTATTTATTTATTGATTTATGGAATGTATTCGTATTTATAATATGTCAAAATTAATACTGTTTACCAAAGATATGGAGGGATAATTAAGAAATACTTGATATTTACTTGATCAATCAATTAATTATTTGCTTTCTTATTAAAGCTAATGCTTAAATAATTGAAATATTTCAATCAAAAATTTTCAACGCAACAAAATTATATATCAATTATATTTTAAATATAGTCTTAAAAATTAATATTTGGTTTAGAAAGTTAGTTCTTGTAAAACAAGATTAGAACAAATTTAATATTAAGTTTGTTATAAAAATTTAAAATATGTAAGTATGTGATACAGATAGGGGAATATCTTGCTATTCTTTCTTTATAGCTGCAATAGTCTAGCTAATTATAACTATATATTTTTCAATTCTTTGTGTAAAGGCAATGTAGATCTATAGTTTAACTTCTTATAAATATCCATTGATATCTAATATACATCTACTCAAGGTAATTACTCTATTGTCCATTTTAGCAGTGGACGTGGCAGGGCTCTCTTTAGCTTTCGAAAGATCCTAGAATGATTCTATTGATGTAAGCGAATTACTAAATAGTATTATCTCAATTATAAGCGAATTTGTTTGTATTATTCTGCTCAGAAAAGAGTTTTTGATATTGAAATTAACTTCTGGATATCTGAGATCATACATCTCAATAAGTTTCTTTATCTACACAATAGCTATGATGATCAATGCATTTAACAGCAGGTAAACTTAATTTGGATTGTCTTCTGATTAAATAGTATATATCGTATGCTTAATTCTGAAGTTTCTCTTGACAGCTGAAGTTTTTGTATTTAAGTCTGACTTCATCAAAAATAAAAATTGTGTTGAGTAAGAAGAAAATGCTTACAATTTTACCTAAAATGAATTAAATTAAAACAGTGATGATCTCTATTTTAACTTGTAAGTTTAACACATGGAGATTGATTCAGGGAAAGATGGAAATAAATAATCGAATGGTGATTTTTAAATAATATATTAAGAAGAAATTGACAATACTAGCTCTTAAATTTTCCACTCTAAGAATCATCAAAGCATATAAAATTTCAATTAGCAAAATTAATATTTAAGCCCTCAACAAAATCTTAAAGGAGAAAATAATATGAATAATAGATAAATTTGTTAATTTAGATCAACAGGGAAAAAAAATTATTACTAAGATGATTTGCTGTGTCCTACTCACTTGAACTTTAAAAATAATATTGATAATTCAGATATGAAAACATCTTAATAACTCTCTGATTAGAATCCTCCTCATGCAAAGTGTAGCAAATTGAGTGTACCTTTAAGCATAAATAATAAATCTTAGGTATCTAAAAATGAATTTGATGGGAAGGGTAAGAGAAATTCCTAAACTAGTAATAGTACAGAGTTTATACAAATTAGTCATTTATTTATAAAAGAAATTTATAATTCAAATGGAGTAATTATGATTAAAATTTTAATAACTTATATAAATGGTCAGTAAGAAGAGTTACACAAAACTTTGCAAGAATTCTAACAAATAGTGACATTTATTAGAAATTTTTTCAAGCAGCAAGATCCCGATTTAATTGAAGTAGAATAAATGAATTCAAATTAGAAGATAAATAATTATTAAGAATAAGAAACACTGATGAGAAAATTAGAAAAAATTATGAATCTTATAATTATTAATAATTTTCATACAAATTCCAACATAAGCAGCTTTTTTAAGATAAGAGATTATAATCGCTCATCTTCTTTTAATGCTAATTGCGTAATTTAATTTCTAATTGAGTATTATTCAAAGTTAAGCCAAATCACTTTTTTATATTTAACTTTGATAATCAATTTTTCTTAAACAATCATTAAATTGGCTATTAATTTTTAATAGCTAATTAAATCAATTATTTAAAGGCTCAATATTATTTTTTTAGTTTTTTTCATCTTAATAATTTTAAAAAAAATCTATTTTAAAAAAGTTTTTAAATATTTTAGTAAAAGAAATCTTTAAATTAAATAAACTAATTTTTTATTAAAAATAGCAAGAAGAACAAGTATTTAGCTCTTTTAGCAATTACTGCTACTCAGAATAGGAAAATAAATTAGATAATTAAGCAATAAGGGACTAAAAAAGCTGTTAAGAAAACTAGAGATCTGCAAATCAACTTACTTTTGAAAATAGATTGACAGGAGGTAGTAAAATGACAAATAATTAGGAAAAATAAAATTACTTTAGTGATTATAATCAAAGTCATGATGAATATAATGATAGATTGAGTTAATAAGTTTCTATTAGTATTGGATCTGTAGCAAGTTCAATCAATGATGACTCTTAAGAATTGAAAGTAAACCAAGAAACTAATGATAAAGATTTAATAATAAAAGTAAAATAAATAACAACTCAATTTATTCAAAAAGAAGATTATACAGTAAATTTAAAATTTTTTTCTTTATATCATTTACTAATATATTTTATTATAAATAATAAAATCAAGAAATACATAATTAAATTGCAATATTTTACGAACAAACAAGTTAAAGATCTTACAATGGAAACAAGATATAAGGATATACTTACAATACACAATACAGTATTTTATATATAATAAAGTCCTTATTTAAATATTAACGAATTAAAAAATCATATTAGATCAAAGAGTAACTGCCTAAAATTGAGATTCCTGATTTACCATTTAAGGAAAGAAAATTAGATATTTTCAAGAGTAAAACAGATTCAGACATTATTGATTTCAGGAAAAAGACTCTTCCATCATATTTTGAAACTATTTTAAATAATAAATAAATTAGGTAATTAGATTTTATCAAAAAGACATTTTTTTTCTGAGAATTATCAATTTAACAAATTTAATAAATACGCATAAACTAATGTAAATAAATATATATATACTAAATATATAATTTGTATAAAATAAATCTAATTACAATTTAATTTATCAATTTCAAAATAAATTTATGTAAATTTTAAATAAATATGAATAAATTTTTAAGTTAAAAATATTCCTTAAATTAATAAATAAAATAAAATTAGTGGAATAATAAGATAAAAAATAAATCAAATAAAAGCTATCAAATAAATTCAAAGATTTTTTTTATTTTATATTCATTTTTATAGTTTAAAATATCACAATCCAAAACAAATAAACTGTTTTTACTCAAGCTTAAGTGTCAAATTGAGAGATTAATGCTCTTTACTAAACCAGAACATAAGCCTAATGCACCCATTGCACCAATTTAATTACGACTTTTTAAAAATTGAAGTAAAAATATATCATTAAATAGTTAATTAGAAGGAAAATATTAAGAAAAAATATGAAATAATAAGATTAATTAATAGTAAAAGCAAAAGTTGAAAAAATAAAATGATGAGTTAAATTAGCAAAGAAAGAACGAAAAAAAAGCAAGCACAATAAAATGAAAAAGAAAAAAGAGCTAAATTGTTTTAAATTAGTTTTTATAATTATAAATATCACAATCCAAAACAAATAAATTGTTTTTACCGAAGATTAAGTGTTAAATTTGAGAGATTAATGCACTTTGTTAAACAAGAACCTAAGCCTGATGCACCTTCGTCACCAATTTAATTAATTTAATTGGAAATATAATAAGTAAATTTATTTAACTCATTTCTTTTTAAATATTGAAGAAAAAATATATCATTAAAAAGTTAATTAGAAAAATAAAATGAAGAAAAAATATGAAATAATAAGATTAATTAATAGTAAAAGTAAAAGTTGAAAAAAATAAAATAATGAGTTAAATTAGCAAAGAAAGAACAAAAAAAAAAGCAAGCACAGTAAAAAGAAAAAGAAAAAAGAGCTTATTTGTTTTAAATTAGTTTTTATAATTAAAAATATCATAATCCAAAACAAATAATATATTTTTACTCAAGGTTAAGTGTCAAATTTGAGAGATTAATGCACTTTGCTAAACCAATACCTAAGCCTGATGCACCCATTGTACCAATTTAACTGACACTTTTTAAATATTGAAGAAAAAATATATCATTAAATAGTTAATTAGAAGGAAAAAATTAAGAAAAAATATGAAATAATAACATTAATCAGTAATAAAATCAAAAATTGAAAAAAATAAAATGATGAGTTAAATTAGCATAGTAAGAACAAAAAAAAGCAATCATAGTAAAAAGAAAAATAAAAAAGAGCTTTATTATTTTAAATTAGTTTTTAAAAATTAAAAATGTCACAATCCAAAACAAATAATCTGTTTTTACCTGAGATCAAGCGTCAAATTTGAGAGATTAATGCACTATGCCAAACCAGAACCTAAGCCTGATGCACCTTCATCACCAATTTATAAAAAATAAATAAATATTGGGAAAAACTAAAAATAAATAAATATTGAGGAAAACCTCCAGAAACCATAAAATCTAAAATATTTTCACTTGCAAAATAGCAAGTCTATCAAGAAATCACTAAAATTAGGTGAAAGTCATTAAATTTCAAAATAAAAAAATGGGGGGTGGGGGGGGGTTCATAAATTATCGGCTACATTTATTCCGGAAAGTATACAAGCAAATGTAAATCTGATTTTTTGCAAAACTCTTTATTTTTGGGTTCGTAAAATTTAAGAATATAAGGTACATATTATTTCAAATTTTACATTTTGAGAGTTTAAAACTTTCTAAAAACTCAAAAATAAAGCATTTTAAAGCTAATTTAGCTTTATTTATTATGTTATTAATATATATAACATTTGCCTTTTGCAAATTAAATAGGCATTTCACTCTAGTAAATTAGAAGGAAAAAATGATGAAAAAATATGTTTAATATGACTAATTAATAATTTATAAAATTAACAAAGAATGGAAAAAAAAGAAATCATAATAAAAAGAAAAAGGAAAATAAATCAAATAAATTAAAAGAACTTTAATTTTTTAAATTAACTGTTTTACTTAAAAATATTATAACCCAAAACTAATAAACTGCTTTTATTAAGTGTAAGTTTTAATAGCAAAAAGTGAAGAAAAAATATTAAATAATAAAAAATGAATGATAAATAATTAAAAATTAAATTAAATAGCTATTAAATTGTAGTTTTAATAAAAATCAATAAATAATGATGATAACTTCTATAACAAAAATTATTTATTTAAATAAATTGAAAGTTAAATAAATAAAAAATATTAATAATTATAAAAATAACATTTATTAATAAAATATACTTTAGATCAATATGGAGAACCTAATGAGATAAAAGCGAAGAGCTTAAAAACTTTTTTTTTTAATTTATATAAATTTAAAGGATATTAATGATAAAAATAATAATTACTTCTTCTAATTAGTAATATTCTTTAATCTATTATATCATTTATTATTTATTTCAAAAATTTTGAAAAGCAATTTATGGAATTTAATTAAAATTATAAATGTAAAAGAACAAATAAATTATATAAATTAATTATCAAATATTAATTTATAAATTTGGTTTTATGTAGCGATATCACATAAAAATTAATTTAACATTCATTATTTAATCATAATATTTGTATTTAAAATATTTAATATAGTAGGAATTAGAGATGGCCAGTTAGTTAGTCATATTTGAAAAAATTCTAGTAATTAATTAATGTTCGAATATCTTTTTGAAAACATCATAATTATTTTTTAAAAAAAAGAAAGTTTATGATTTTTGTTTATACTTGAATTTACTTTAATTGTTGTAAAATATAAAATTGTTTTTAAAAAATATATGTAATCCAACAATTAAGTAAAAAATCCTTTAAAATTGTTAAAAGTAAATAGCTTTTATTTGATTGATTTTTTTATTCATTCTAAATATAAAATGCAAAATCTAAATCAGTTTTAACTACAGCTATTTATTTATTGTTAAAATAAATATTTAAATAAACTAAATAAATAAATAAATATATTATTACTTAAATTAATTAAAATGAACCAACAAAAAATCATTAAAAACTGTAATTATTTTATATCCAAAAATAGGTTTCAATGCTAATTAACAACATGTGCAAGATTAATTTTATTTTTTTTAAAGAATTTTAGAATACTTAAGATAATTATTTTAAATAAAATTTAAATTATACTTTAATTATTTGAATCATATTGGATAAATAACTTAAATAATAGCTTTCTAATAATTCTAAATTAGTTAATTTATCAATTTTTTAAATCATAAATTTATTTCATATTTCTAACTAATGCTTAATTTAACTAATTTCATAAACAATAAATCTAAAAACCATTTATGAATTATTTATGCTTAAAATTGATTTATAGATAAATTTGAAAAATAAAAAAAAATAAATTAATATGATTTTTAAATTTATCAAACAAAATAGTTAATCTTTTTTTAATTAATAATTTTTAATATTTTTAATATACCTTAAAAGTTAATATTCTTAAGCTGAACTTAACAACTTAACAACTTAACAACTTAACAACTTAAGAACAGCTATATTATAAAATTTTCATGATACCATGGCATTTTAGCGGCTGATAATTTTATTCAATACTGCAAATATATATTTTTTATTACTATAATTCAATCATATTTTTTTAACATGTAAATACCATCATAAATGTAAATTATAAGTTCTCCTGTATTTAGCTGGAAAATATTCATTCCATCATTCCACTAATTTAATTTTCCTTCATCTTATTCTATATACTCTTAAATGTTGAATAATTCTATAGATTTGCATTTTTTATTTAAAATGTAAAAAACTCTATGTTCAATATCATAATGATCACGTTCTATGATAATATTACTAAATAAAATATTGTTTGATATTCTATTCTAGTTGTTTATTAGAAATATTTTATTTTCATAATTATCATTTTATAAATCGCTGTTGCATTTTAATATTACCTCATTTAGTTTGTTAATTTTTTTTATTTCAAACTTTTTTTTTCTATCAAATTATATGATCTGACTTTTGCTGCTAACAGTAAAGATATCTCCTTTATTATAAGAAGAAGCTTTATACAAATTAAAATCGCTTTTGTGCATATTTATGAATTTGAATTTGAATTTGATCAAATCAAATGAATAAAAGGTTAAAAATGTATCATAAACTTTATTTTCAAATAGCAGGATAAATTCTTTGGTTTCACTATTATAATGAGAGTATAAACCAACGGTATACTTTGAAAAGCGAACTGACTCTTTTATTATTTAATTTTTATTAAAATCAAAAATCCCAAAATATTTTTTTTCATTTTCTAAATAAATAATTGGCAAGTATATATTCCCATGAGAGTCTGATTCAAATTTAGAAAACGCTTAAAATAGTATTTAAAGTTGCTAAATATCATTTATGTCTGAATTTTATTGCTTTACAGGTAAAATTATGTTTATACTATAGCAATCATTTAAACGGCGAATAAATATAAGCTCAGATTTATTATTATTAAAATGAAATTATTCAATATTGTTTGGATACATTTTCCATCTATCATCATATTTAACTTCAAAACTAAAGTTTTAAATTTTATTTATTGTTTAATTCTTTGCAAGTTTATAAACAGCAAAATGAGTAGCCCACTCATAAACGATAAATTATGAGTTTTATTGTTAAGGTATTTCTTCTTATGATATCTCTAATTTTTTAAGATAAAAAGATTTTTATTCATTAGATGTAATTAATCCCAAGTGAAGTTTCAGTTGTTCGTA